GCGTTTTGGCTAACTAGGTGGACCTGTAAATAGACCACCCAATATATTTATATTTTATGTAATTGTTTTTATTGTTTTCTAGTATCATGTATACATTTTTATAGTTTTCAAAATAAATATATACATTTTATTTACTATTCAATCATACTCAGCGCAAGTGATTCCAAGAAGGGGGCAGTGTCATCCCTATTAATTTGACACTAGGCTAAAATACTTAGAGCCGGTAACCAGAGGCTCTAAAGAAGGTGAGCACTTTTGTATTTTATTTACATTGATCTACATCAGAATCTAAAATACTACATTTAGATTGGGGATATCTGTGTCTCTTTTCTATGCAACGTGGAGAGAAATTTACGCCCTTTTTCATCTTGGGAGACGGGTCGTGTGATCTACCCCTAAAAAAGACACAGACACCTGGAAGTTTAGAGCCTTATAACTGGAAAAGGCTCTAAAAAATGTGAGTTCATTTCAATTCATCATTTACAACTAAAAGACTTTATACAATATTCATTTAATATACTACACTATTATTTGTATTTTTTATGTTCTTTTTTCTTGGTATACCATTAAGAAAACTAAAGCACAATATATAGGGTAAGTGCGTGTTCTAGCACTATTCCTTCACTGAAATTTTCACTTTATATTCAGCGCTACACTCATGAGAAACTAGGGATTTGGGGGATATATAGTATCTACCTAAATCCAAAGTTCTCTCTCTTTTTTTGGTGTTTATCTAAGAAAATTAGAAACCTAGAATGTGACGGCAGATAACAGCACCCCTCTTACACAAACACACTGCGCACCTCACACATACAATACGTCCAAATATATATATATATATATATATATATATATGTATATATATATACACACACACTACAGCACCCCTCACACTGCACCACTACACACATTACGCTCCAGATACACGCTAGATCCCTTACCCTATATGCACTCTTAATCCTCTACACACATACACACACACACACACACACACAATCTTCTATACACACTCTGGGTCCTTTACACACACACACTGCACCACCTACACACACTACATTACTTGTAAGGAAACACATACAACATTCTCTAAACACACCCTCTCTACAACCCCTACACACACTACGTCACCTATACACACACCCTACTGCCCGTATGCACACACTCGCTACATCCCCTATAACACTATGCCCCTATACACGCACTCTCTACAGCCCCTAGCCACACATATTACACCACACATATTACACCTATTTACACAATACCACACCACACTCTACACACAGGCAATCCCACAAGCAGGCGCCAAACACATGCACCATACACTTTCCTGGCCCTTTTGTCCTCTGGTATCCCACTTGTGGAGACACCAGAGACAATTTAAAAGCAAACACAGCGCAAGCATGTTATTACATTTGCTTGCGCTGCGCAGAACAAATACAGGGCCTTTTTCTAATGCCAGAGCTCTTCAGCGGGGTTCTGTGCATTGAACCAACATGCTCACTTTGAGAGGGGGCGTGCTTGTCATTAGTAATGACAAAACACACCCTCTCTGGCCCCGCCCCTCTTCTTGGGGGGCCGCTCTAATTGAAAAATGCCCGGGCCTCATTTTTTTCCCAGTCCGGCCCTGTCTACAATCACACATAGTCCGCATATATGAACACACAATCACATGCACAGTCACATGCATATATTCCTGGTGTCTACTAGTGATGGCGAAGCAGGAGAACTGTGCATTGTCTTGCATACCCTGCTTTCCTGTTTTCCCCTTGGCATTGTAACAGGTAACAGGTGTATCATTCAGCACTCATTGCTTGTGTTCTGATTGGGTACCCCATACAAAGGGAAAGAATATCAGGGCTAATTAAGCAGGCAGGTTTTCCAAGAAGCCGTGTCCACGAGGGACAGTCTCAGGTAAGTAGAACTCATCTTTCTACAGATTTTGCAAAGCCACCAGAAGGTGACAGTGTCCCTTTAACCCTTTTTTTCAACAGATGCTTTTTTTCCTTTTAATCCGAGTTTCAACAAATTGCATCATCATAATCCAGTTCAATTGAGGAACTATTTAACATTTAGCAGCCAACGGAATCTTCAACTAAGACTAGGGTGGTGCTGTGGGGGCCCATTCTGAATAAATCTATTACATTTTTGTGCTCAATTTACTATGTAGAATTGGAAATTTAATGAAGAATGATGAGATACAATTTGTTTCTCTATATATATATTTTAAGAAGAATATTTTCATCTGCATTCATTACTGAAATCATTAAATCTCCCTAAGAGATGTGTAATTTCTTTTCTGTGTTTTTATTGTTTGATACCAATACCTTAAAGGATAAAATAAAATAATTTGGATTTATGCTTATTTGTGTAGCTTTTCACATGGAGATTCATTCCAGCCATTTGATGATATAACTTACAATATGTATAGCACAACTGAATAATATGTAAATGTCTATCAATTGATGCAAATAATTACTAATTCATATGTAAATGATGCAATGTCTGTACAGTAGGCCTAAAATAACACAATTTTGTTATTGACTATTCCAGACAGTAAATAAAATACTCATATCAACAGGTATTTGTGAATGTGCATGAATCTTTGATTGAAGGGATTTTATAGGATTAGGAATATAATTCTGTATTCCCACCACTATAGTGCCCTCTGGTCCCCCCTCCTTAATAACCCCCTCCCCACATAAAAACCCTTTAGTCACTTACCCGATTCGGTGCTCCACCTCCTCCAATATCATCCGAAGGGGGACCTAGTGAGCATGCACGGCGAGCGCATTAGGTCCTCCGCATTGGAAAGCATTGCCTCAATTTCACTGACACTGGATGCAGAGCATAAGGACGCCCAGTGTCGTTTTAGGGACTCAGAGTCCGTTAGAATACTGAAAGAGCTTCTAGTGGCTGTATGAAAAAAACAAACACAAAAAACAGCAATGTTTTACATTGCAGGACTATGTGGGATTGTAACATTGCACTTAGACCACTTATTATTTATTTGTTTATTAAGTGTTCTTGCATAGCAAGACCACTTAATGTTATCTCACATATATATTAAGTGTTCTTGCATAGCAAGACCACTTATTGTTATCTCACATATATATTATTATTCTTATTATAGCCAAATTTGCCACCCTAACTCCTCCCACAGTTTTTACACTACATAGACAAAAATTTACCAAAACGTGCAGATTGTTCCCGATCGGATTGCTATTACTTTGTGGAACGTTTCGCCGAATGGTTCACGGAATATCGTCGTTCTTGTGGCGCAATTTGTCCAATAGGAATGAATGGCAAAGCTAGAGTGGGAGCTGGCAAAAGCTGAAAAATCAGGATATGATTTCTAAACTGCCACCACTCCCTTATTTTCAGGCCCACCTACACAAATCTTTTATCAAAACGTTCAGCTATCCCTGCTGCCACTAAACATGTAAACGGCTAAGCCGTAGTCCTGATAGTTTTCACAATATAATCATTTGTTTGCAACTAACGCCGTCCATTGACATTCATTGAAACTTCACTCTGCAAAGCTCAAATTTGAAGTGTAATTTCTAAACTGCGACTGTGCCTTCATTTTTAATACTTCAGAGACATACTATGCATCAAAATGTAGGTCTGGGTCTTGTGATTCTCACAATATAAAGCTCTTTGCTGTAGGATTTATAGTTTTTAAAATACCACCGTTTGAAGATGGCAACTGCCAAAATACTCTGACCTGTGCCAGGCTGCAGCAGCAAGTGATGTCATAGACAGGGCCTTTTGAACACCTGCTAATGTTTTTATAAATGTATGGTTTAATGTAACTGTGCAACAACGTTGCAATTAAATGTGCTATGTAAATGATAACAGTTACTCTGCCCACTCCAGTTGTAGACTACTGGTGGAGGCAAGAATACTTCACACAATTTCCCCAGAAATTGTAGCTTTTCTAGTTTATAAAATATTTTACCAGGAAAGATACATTGAGATTTCTCTCATTTTCAAGTGTCCTGGGTCCACAAATCATTGCATTGTTACATTAGGGTACAATAAAATACAAAAACAATATTAATACACAATATATACAAAATGTAACATAGGACAGGTAGGAAATATATAATCAACCATGACAGGTGCATTCTGTTTTGAAGGACTTTTAGGTTTAGGGAAGATTTTAAATTGTGTGGGAGGTCGTTCCACAATTGTGGCGCTCTGTAGGAGAAGGAGGATCGGGCTGCTTTCTTTTTGTATTGAGGTAGACTAAATAAAGTGCTGGTACTGGATCGGAGGTTATAGGAGGTGGGAACAGCCGGGGAGAGCATTTTTTTTGTTCAGCTAGGGAGGGAGTTTCCCAGAAAAGCTCTTAAACACAAGGCTGGAAAGATGAAGGGTGCGTCTGGATTCCAGCGACAGCCAGTTTAGTTCTTTTAGCATGTCACAATGGTGGGTCACGTAATTACAATGAGATGAAGTGGTCTTGGTGCCTAGGTGTGTCCCTTGAAATAATATTAAGCACTCGGTCACTGAATATTACGGTATCTAATATTCCCATTCAGATGAATTAAATAAGTAGAGTTGTGCACAAATTTCAGCGGATACAAACAAATCAAATTCCTTTTAATCTACGCTCAAATGTGTCAATCGTCCCGGATTTACCAGTGGAGTCGTATTCATTGACAAATCGATTTGTTTGGGAATAGAATAAAAGGCATTCGGGTTGTTCGTACCAAGGCTAGAAATTAGCATTGAAAGGTTCCTGGACTTTCTAAACTTCTATTGCGCATAATTAATTTTTTGCATCCATCAGTTACCATTACTGTTTTAATTTGCGTTAAGCTAGTGGTTGCTTTACAAAAAAAACCACCAACAACATGGAGTTATGATTATTTCTGAGCTTTTATTTATCCATTTCTTTATTGGAGAGCTGGCGTTTGCCAGGAACAAAGATGGCCGCCGCAGACAGTCCGGCTACTTCCTGTAACGCCTGCCACAGGAAACGGTGCTCCCTGTACACTTCCTGTGTGCTTGGTTACCTAGTGACGGGACAACTCCACATCTCGGAGTATCTCAGAGGGTTCACCGCTCCTGGGGGTCTGCCAGTATCGGTAATTAGCGGAGCCCACCCTCCGCCGCTGCCATGTTTATTTACCTGAGCAAGAAGGTAGGTGGCATTCACACAGGTGGCATGTCTGGTGGGCGGCATGATCAGTGAAAAGCCTCATTCTCCCCATGCTCTCATTATTAATTATTATTATTATGTTAGTTCTTTGTCTTGCATTATGTTATCCCAATAGCACAGTGATGGCATTGGCTGCTAACCCGGGCACCTCTGATGTTTCTGAACTCCATCTCAAATGTTCATCAGCCTTAAGGAAAAAAAACATCTATCAATCTAGTATCAATCAATGTATTAATTATCTATCAATCTGTCATCTATCTATGTATCAATTATCAATCTATTAATTATCTATCAATCTGTATCAATCTATCTATTAGCTATCATTCATCTATATATCTATTATCTATCTAATATCAATCAATCCTATTATCTATCAATCTGTATCAATCAATCTATCTATTAGCTATCATTCATCTATATATCTATTATCTATCAATCTAATATCTATCAATCAATCTATTAATTATCTATCAATCTGTATCAATCTATCTATTAGCTATCATTCATCTATATATCTATTATCTATCAATCTAATATCTATCAATCAATCTATTATCTATCAATCTGTATCAATCTATCTATTAGCTATCATTCATCTATATATCTATTATCTATCAATCTAATATCTATCAATCAATCTATTAATTATCTATCAATCTGTATCAATCTATCTATTAGCTATCATTCATCTATATATCTATTATCTATCAATCTAATATCTATCAATCAATCTATTAATTATCTATCAATCTGTATCAATCTATTAGCTATCATTCATCTATATATCTATTATCTATCAATCTAATATCTATCAATCTATTAATTATCTATCAATCTGTATCAATCTATCTATTAGCTATCATTCATCTATATATCTATTATCTATCAATCTAATATCTATCAATCTATTATTATCTATCAATCTGTATCAATCTATCTATTAGCTATCATTCATCTATATATCTATTATCTATCAATCTAATATCTATCAATCAATCTATTAATTATCTATCAATCTGTATCAATCTATCTATTAGCTATCATTCATCTATATATCTATTATCTATCAATCTAATATCTATCAATCAATCTATTATCTATCAATCTGTATCAATCTATCTATTAGCTATCATTCATCTATATATCTATTATCTATCAATCTAATATCTATCAATCAATCTATTAATTATCTATCAATCTGTATCAATCTATCTATTAGCTATCATTCATCTATATATCTATTATCTATCAATCTAATATCTATCAATCAATCTATTAATTATCTATCAATCTGTATCAATCTATCTATTAGCTATCATTCATCTATATATCTATTATCTATCAATCTAATATCTATCAATCTATTAATTATCTATCAATCTGTATCAATCTATCTATTAGCTATCATTCATCTATATATCTATTATCTATCAATCTAATATCTATCAATCTATTATTTATCTATCAATCTGTATCAATCAATCTATATTAGCTATCATTCGTCTATATATCTATTATCTATCAATCTAATCTCAATCAATCTATTAATTATCTATCAATCAGCTATCATTCATCTATATATCAATTATCTATTAGCTATCCATATATCAATTATCAATCTAGTATCTATCAATCAATCCATTAATTATCTATCAATCTGTATCAATTAATCTATTAGCTATCATTCATCTATATATCAATTATCTATCAATCTAGTATCTATCAATCTATTATCTATCAATCTATATCTATTAGCTAGCATTCATCTATATATCAATTATTTATCTATTAGCTATCCATATATTAATTATCTATTAATTATCTATCAATCTATATCTATTAGCTAGCATTCATCTATATATCAATTATCTATCTATTAGCTATCCATATATCAATTATCTATCAATCTAGTATCTATCAATCTAGTATCTATCAATCTAGTATCTATCAATCTATTAATTATCTATCAATCTATATCTATTAGCTATCATTCATCTATATATCAATTATCTATCTATTAGCTATCCATATATCAATTATCTATCAATCTAGTATCTATCAATCTATTAATTATCTATCAATCTGTCATCTATGTGTCCATTATCTATCTATCCTATCTATCTAGTATCTATCAATCTATTATCTATCAATCTATATCTATCTATTAGCTATCATTCATCTATATATCAATTATCTATCCATCTCTCTATCTATAAAAATATAAAATGTATGTTTGGTAAAGCACTGGGACAAACTCCTCACTGCAACCTAAAAGTCTCTGTTTTTCCAAATAGATGCTTCTCATAGAGGGGCATTGTAGACTCATGTCACATGCTCTCTCCCAATCCAGCGATTCCCACACCAGACGATGACGTCTTAACTTGTTCCAACTTCGTCAACGATGCTTGTGTGGGTGCACTGCCAGTACTCCTTGTTTACACAATGTGGGTTGTGTTTATTTTGGCGTCACATGTGATGCAGGCCAGTCAGAGGCAACAGCTCTTTTGTCATATATTCATTGCCCTATCATTGTCCTCATGTACTATACTTTTACATTTAGCCCCCATCCGTTGCCAATGGGGGCTAACTGAGGGTCCGCTCCGCTGCTCCTGGGTGGGGGCCGGGAGGAGGGGAGTCAATAAGTCCCCCCCTCCTCATTTTACTTGGGGCCCCCATCCGCCGCTTATGGGTGGGGGCCAGAGGAGGGAGACAATAGGTCCCCTCTCTCCTTTTGTTACTTTTGGCCTCCACCAGCCGCTCATGGGTGGGGGCCGGAAGGGGGAGACAATAGCTGCCCCCCTCCTTTTGTTACTTAGGGCCCCCACCCGCCGCTCATGGGTGGAGGCCGGGAGGAGTCAGTATGCCCCTCCCCTTTTGTAATTACACTCTCACCCGTGGCTCATGGGTGCGGGCTGCGTGGGGGGAACCCGTTCCTTTGAATAGCCTGGACACCATGGGCACCTGTACTAGGTCCCCCATGAATTGAGTCAGGGGGTGAGGAGCTTATTTTTTTAGAGCAGTGAGCAGGCACAGGCTGCTCACTGTTTAGTTGACATGCCCTTACTCTCTGTAAAGCGAGTAGGGGCATTTGGGAGATTTTAATCTCCTTTATGCTAATATGGGGGTCATATTGACTCCCATAGAGTAAGGGAGGAGATGGGGGGCTTAGGAAGTGGCAGGGAGCACTGCTCCCTGCCGCTTCTATTTTTACATATTACAAAGAGGGAGCTGTGCACCGGTAGCCCCCTCCTTGTAATAAACTAAACGAACACCGACATTCGATGTTTGTTTGAAATTTCTATTCATTTGTCTTTCTGCCGAATTAATAAATAGACGAAATTCTCGTAGCAAATGCCCAAGTATTTAACCGGGCATGCACGGGAATTTTCATTTTTTTTTTTCATTTCAGACGTGTACCTGCCCTGCATAAGTTTGAAAATGCTTATGTAATTCAGGCCTTGGTACAATGTCATCGTCAATAAGCCGCAGGCAGGTATTCCTGCAAATCTATTGATTTTAATAATCCCTCCCACCCGGATCCCCCCTATCTCTGTATTAATTCTTAGTATAAGTTTTTTGTCTGTCTACTTTACTCATCTGGACTTGGAGAAAGAGAGCCTCTTATATCCTATATAGTCTCCCTTCATCTGGTCTTAAAAAAAAAAAAAAAAAGAGAGGTCACTGCATAGAAAAAAGAGAGCCTGATATATTATCCATTTTGTTTATCCATGTGTCCCAGTCTTCTGTTTGCTTATATCTGTAGAATTCCCCAGAATACCCCTTTCCATTCTTGATTGCCATATAACTTGTTTTATTAGTTCATTGATGCATGGAATTATCCCTGTTTTTCAATTTCCTGCTAAGAGTAATTTAGCTGCCGTAATTATGTGTAATATTAACATTTTAGTAAAACCACTTCAGGCTTAAGAGGTAAATTTATTCCCGTTATTTGATGTATTATCTAAATTACTTCTTTCCAAAATTTGTTTATGAATGTGCACTGCCACCAGATATGGATCATATTACCTTCATAAATATATTGCATTTCCAGCATCTGTCTGATAACTGGGAAGATTTTCTTTAAGCGTTCCGCTGCAATTTCACAGTGCTATCTAGTGTGGGCAGATGACTTGTCCCACAGGGACTTCATCTACCCACACAAAGATGGCGGCGCCCAGGACCTAGGTCCGGGCATAAATGAAACTTATTAAAAAAAAGTGAATTGGGGTACAATAAAATGTAAAGTGCCGCTTTAAGCTATGTATTTGCACCGTGGGAGAGCAGTCACGTTGTAAATAAAGTTATTATTATTCAAGCCCCATTAGTATATAGTTTACGTATTTGTTCTCCTTAAATCTGAGCCTCCCTAAATTTCAAAATTTTGGATGACGTGGACTCTAAAAATGTTACCATCAACATCTAACATTTTTCAGATATTTTATTTTGAATTGAATATGTTTTACAAAAACAATTGTTATGACATCTGCCGGTTAACTTAATAGTAATGTTCAGTAGAGTAGAAAGCTTCCCCCCCCCATGTTTTCCAATCAGAAGAGACCGAATGCTAAATGACCAATACCATACATCCTTCCTATTCTTCTGTTAGAATGCGTTGTCCTATCATGATGCTTGTTCGAGGAGCTGAATTCCTACTGGTTGCTAGACAATCCCTTAACCCTAAACACTAATTGCAATACCTAACCATATTCTCCAGTGATCAATTATATTATAAAGATAGAGCATTACAAAATAAACAAAAAAGATACACAGCTGTTTAGCTTCCCTCTGTTCACTGCAGAAGTTTGTGAGAAGTAGTTTCCCCAGAAGTAATTTCACTCGTCACTTTGGAATGAGTGGAACTGCTCCGTAAACTGGAAAGACATACTGCAGATGCTATACACATAAGCACACTTCACTGTTTAGTGAATCTGCCATGTTAAGCTCTTAGGAGAGCTGTTAGAGGGGACAGTGATCAAATAAGAATTCTTATGATGGTAGTGTTTTTCGCTGTGCTTAGGTTGTTGGACACTCTATTTTTTTTTGTAAATATAATTTGTATTTTCGTTTCGAGGCAGTTATACTTCGTTTGGACTCGCAGGTCCGTCACTTGGTAAGTGCAAAGAGTAAGTCAGCAGCGTTGTAAAGGTATATAACAGTGCGAGCTCGCAGGTTGGACGCTCTATTAACAATAATAAAACTACATTTTTTATCCAGCGCCATCCCGATCTTGACCATACAGCCTCTACTCCAATTCTGAGATCATCCTTATGGATGTTCTTGGGCCAATCCAATGATTCTCCTAGAGAAGCATATAGTGGTTATGGTGCTTGGGAGTGTTCCTTTCAGTAAAATGCTGCTTACTTTGTATTGCCCTGACTAGTTTTGTGCTTTCTGTAGCACTGGCTTGACTTTCTTTAACCATTGCAAGCTCATTAATAAACAGAAATGGACCCAAAACAGATCCCTGAGGGGACTCCATTTACCACATTTGTACAACTTGAAAACTTTCTATTAACAACTACTCTTTGCAAGCTGTCTTTAAGTCATAGTGCGATCCAAATACATACATATCCAGTGCTTTACCAAAATCTAAAATGATCACATTCACGATACACCCTGATCTATACTACTTCTGACATCTTCAAAGAATGAAAGTTGTAGTCACCAACAGCTCCGGATCCTGCATCAGCCACTCAAGTTTAACCTTGAAAAAGTCAGTGTTTATAATGATTCCCATGATATTTGAAACTCTTGGAAGTGCAATGTTCATTGGGTGCCTTCATTAAAAACTTTGGACGTCTTGGGTTTCGATGATGCATATCCAGCTATGAGGGGTCCGAGGACATGCTCTTATTTGTTTGAGGAAATTCTATAATTGTAAATAACATGTAAAATCAAGATTTGGAAATAAAATGTTTTTTTTTTGTTTGTTTTTTTAGATTGCCATCCCTAATAATATCCGGCTAAAATGCATATCCTGGAACAAGGACCAAGGCTACATCGCTTGTGGAGGGGAATCAGGGCTGCTCAAAGTTCTAAAACTGGAAATGCAAAGTGGTAAATAAAAATATATTGACATTTTAGTTGTATTTTTGGACCTCTCTGTATTTACTGGTTTTAGGAAAACGGATAACTGCTTGTTTTGAGACATACTCCGTAATTTTGGAATACAAACAAGGCTAAGCAGTGTGTCCCAGATCTGGCACTAGAAAATATATAGCTTTTTCCGTGGATGCTGATTATTATCCAGAAGTGAAAGGAAGAAAAGTCAAACCTGTATATTAGAACCGAGCTAGCATGCGAAAAGTCAATATTTTCTATTCATCATTTCCTGATTTAGGATTCTGTACATTCTGTGCTGCCAGTTAGCTCTGTTCAGGCTCCTCAGGAGCAGAAGGTGCTGACCTTCAATGCACAATTCATTGAGCTCTGTATGTATCTATTTAATGTGTCCTGTCATGTATTGTTGAACTACAATCCCCAGAATTCTCTGCCAACCACTTCTTTGTTTGGACATTATCTCCAGTTCCCTAATTTGCAATTTTTTTAATGAGTGGCAGTGTTTATGACTATATAAAGATCATTCACAGTTTTGAATTTCTTTACCTATTTCTCTGTCTAATCACTCTCTTCTGCCTTTATCAGCGCCTAATTACTATGAATATTAAAGGGACACTGTAGGCACTATTACCATTTAATCTCATTGAATTGGTTATAGTGCCCTGGAGTTCCTGTCACTTTGCCTCCATTCAGTGTTAAACAGTTTTTGAGCAAGTTAGCACTGAATGAGGATCCATGGCTTCCCATAGCCCCGCCCATGGAGGTATAGCTAAGGATTACACACTTTCTTTTACCCATGCCAAGTCATACCAGCAATGGCATTGTGATGAGCCGAATCCGCACAGAGGAGATGAATTGCTGGGTAATCTTGTTTAGCATTAAAATATTAAAACCGGTTTAATGCTGAATGGAAGGTCAGCCTAAGCGTACACCTGTAGACACATATACAGTAATCCACAAAACATTCCATTTGCAAATGAATATACTTCCGTCAGTAAAAAAATAAACAAACTTTTTGCACATATTTAGGTATAGTGCCTGAACCTTTCCAGTTTTCTGTCTTTCTTAGTCTAGGACAGCTCATGCTCTAGTTTAATAATTAGCTTTATGGTACGGTTTTATGTAAATTTTACTGTAAACCATTTTTCCATAGTACTCCCATGTTTAATCTAAGAATGGAATTCCAAACATGGCTTGTTATAGAGGCGGTTTGTCTAAACACTGGTCCTTTAAGGAATTACTTAGAAACTCTGCTCAGCTACCATAGGGTGCACTATCTGAAAACCATAGCATATACAATTTTACATTAATGTTTTATAGATTCAAAAACCTTCACAATTGTTAATATGGCTTTATTTTCTGTTTTGTTACAATTGAATAATGTTCTTTTTTTTTCAGATGATGCAAAGTTAAAAGGACTTGCAGCTCCAAGTAATCTTTCTATGAACCAGGCTCTAGAAGGACATACAAGTAAGATATTTGTAAAAACAAAAACTATGGAATTCTTAATTCAAATGAGAAGATCTTTATTGGAAGAGGAACTATCACCTTTTAGTTGGTGACAGTCCTGTATGACTTCACTCTCAATAAACTATGTTGACGAATGTGTTGGTTGATTTGTGCGACAGAAGTAAATATAGTACATACTTTCTTCCTCATTAGAATGATCACATATTCTGGGGTGTGGGCGACACTGTTTAGCTAAAGCAAGAGGCCTTGATTTAATCTGTTTAAATACGATTTATAAATGATTACAATCTGTTAGATAGATTACAATCTGTGAGTTCTGTAGATAAGTCATTTCAAAAATGTTTCCAACAGATTGTGAACATTTGAAAAGCTTATCCAAAAGAATCAAATCAAAGCCAGAGTGGGTGTTTAATTTATCATAAAACTTTATCTTATAAACAAAATGTGCTGCAAAAAATTAAATCGTGGTAACTTCGCTGTCAAGCTCCCCCAACATAAGTGCTTGACAAGCAGCAAACACCATCTTTAGTTGTGTGGCACTAGGGATTGGCCTGTTTTTATTTTATAATTCTTTATTTTTGTAGTGCATTGTTATTCGATCTCATGGGAGTAAAAACATGTAATTGTATAACATTATAACATTAAAAATTGTAAGTAGATTGGCCTGTTTTTAAAGGAACACACCAAGCACTATAAACACTACACGGTGTGATAATGATTATGGTACCCAGACTGCCCAGGTGCCTTCCCCATGTAAGTGGTCAAAGCATTTGCTAGCAGTTTGACAATTTATCTGGGGTCTCCCTGGCACAGCTCACTTTTTCCCTTGAGAGCCAGAAACTCCTTTATGCAGCTTACCTTAGTTAACGCAATGCTTGAGAGTGTCACCGGATCGATCTCCGTCAGTTAGTTGCGCTTCTGGCTCTCAATGGAGGAGATGCAAGGTGGACCCCAGATAAATTGTCAACCTGTTTGTAGACTGTTGGACTACTAACACTGGGGGACACTCCTGGCACGATACCCACTACAGTGGTATGGTGCTTGAGAGTTCTTTTAAATATTTGTTGACTAATTTTTACGTAATTAACACTTTCTGTGTTTATGATTTGGATCTGCAGGCTCTGTTCAGGTGGTGACATGGAATGAACATTTCCAAAAATTAACTACAAGTGATCAGAGTGGTTTAATCATTGTGTGGATGCTGTACAAAGGTAAATATAGATCAACACTATTCATATCCCTGATATAAATTACTGTTGTGCATCATCTATATATAATCAAAATTTCCCTTTGCTCATCAGCTACATACCTCAAAATTCTTCTATAATTGATCCAGAATTCCTGGTTTGACATGCAAATGAGACAGGCTTTGATTTTTAGACTTCATATTGGAATTCTGCAGTAACCCTGCAGTAACCCTACAAGGACCAATGACCAGAAAACAACCATGGACTGTACATTGCTTTTAAGCATTAATGTCTCTAAAACAGAAGCAGTGTCCTGTGCACCACTGCTAGAACGCATTAAAACTAATTAATTATCCTCATCTTTAAAAGGCTTCTTATGAAATAATACATTAAAAAAAAATATGCATGTAGCAAGTCTTTTTATCTCAAACTTGAGGAGGACATAAGACATAGATCTTAAGACATCAGCCATTCGTTTCAGTTTGTGACTAAAGTCAGTGTCATTTATCTAGGGTCCTGGTATGAAGAGATGATTAATAACAGAAATAAATCAGTTGTACGTGGAATGAGTTGGAATGCTGATGGACAGAAGATCTGTATTGTATATGAAGATGGAGCAGTCATTGTAGGCTCTGTGGAAGGTACAGATTCTGTGTTGTGATTTCTTTAGTTTTTTTTAATTTCCATTTTTAAATCCTATTATTAGTGACATTGGCTCAAAAGTTATTTTTTTTATGTATTATGGTCTACTACTGGTAACTAAATAAAAAGAGGACATTTTTTTTAATTTCAAGTAAATGTACACAGCAGCCACTCTAGAAGGGGCTAATTCTTGTATAAAAGATCAAAACCTCGTAGCTACAATGACAAAGGTTATCGTAATGCACCTTTATCTGCTTATATTATGATTGTGTTTGTGCAGAAGCCTGCCAACTGCTGAATAATCATTTGTAGATTAGTTCTTCATCTTTGGAAACTTGTTTCAACAATGGAATTTAGCCATCACTAGGCTGGCTTTAAATGTGGCTTTTGCAAACTACATTTAAACAAGTTCTGAAGGACCACAAATAGCCAAGAATCAGGGATCACCCAATTCTTTACCAATAACATTAACATTCACTCTCTATTTATATATTACATACAATATTTCTAATCAATATTTACATTGGTCATGATTGCTACTGATGGTTCAACATTCAGGGATTAGGCAATTCTTTCTATTTGTGGTCTGCTTTGAGAATTAAAAGCCTAGATTATTTCTTGTATGACAGTGAAATGCTTTATAATTAGACTAACACATATAATACCTATATTTCTGCACTAGCCCTTAGGATATAAGTGCTAAACAGTGTCATTTCCCTTAGTGATATTGTGACATTTATATATATTTTTTCCAGGTTTTCAAATTCATATATTTCTTCCAGGTGTTGGAAATACATTAGTTTTTTTTGTACTGTAATATACATTTTTCATTATATAAATCCTGTAACTATTTGTATCTGTGTCGACAGGCAATCGCATTTGGGGCAAAGAACTGAAAGGAATCCAGTTGTGCCATGTTGTATGGTCGCCTGACAGCAAAATCCTCCTCTTTGGGATGGCGAATGGGGAAATCCACATATATGACAACCAGGGAAATTTTATTGTAAGTTGTGTAATGGTGGTACGAATAAAAATAACTTTTGTACTCACAATTGTGTGTAACCATGAAAGATAACCACAACAAAAGGTTGTCGAGTTTGAAGTGTCAGCATTACTGAGCTGTTTTCTGATTTCCTGCATGACGAGCAGTGCTGTGTCCGTGTAGGTTAATATGGTGACATTTTTAATGTTGCTGTTGCTGTTAGCGGTAGGTAACACTTATGTCGCGCATTTAAATATGATCACTGTGAGAAAGGTGTATAGTGTTATTACGCACATCACACAGTTAATCTATTGATCACTAATCAGTGAGGACATACAGGTGGTGATTCATTAGGATGTCATGTTCTTTATTGGGTATCTCTATATTAAGCATAATCTTCAGGCTTTTTAATGTATTGTATTCACATTGATTTCTAGGTGAAAATGGTCTTAAGCTGTTTAGTGAATGTGACCGGTGCTCTTAGCATTGCTGGCATGGATTGGTACCCAGGAACCAAGGGTTATGTGGAGCCAGATTGCCCCTGCCTTGCCATCTGTTTTGACAATGGGAGATGCCAAATAATGAGGCATGAAAATGATGAAAGTAAGTAAAGTTTTTCTCCCTGCAATATGTTGGAATGAGACAAATCTTTTAGGTTACACATCTTATAAGCAATTAGGAAAGTAAGAAATCAGAGACTCCTGGGAGTTGGACAAAGCCTCTAGAAGTCAAACCAAATTTATAGGAATAAAATATACACTTTGTAGCAAATGTGCAAACTAAAATAAAGCAAGAAAAAAAAGTATATTTTAAAAAACGTTTATAAACTTCCTAGAAACTTGGTTAGATTACATTGTTGGGTACACCTCTCAGCTAGGTGGGGTTTTTCAGCCTCCACCCACTTGTCCAGAACCAGTCTACTAATGACAGAAACAGGACGTGATTGTGTAGCAGCAATAAGCTCCTCATTCTCCCTGACACAGCAGGGATATAGAAACCCCACAACCGGACACTGCTCTGCATGATTCACTCTTCTCCCACTATCAGGATGTTGGTGAAGAGCTCTTCCAATTGTATGTACGTAAATCTGTCATGCATGCCCAGTGCACTTTTCTAGCATTCCTAGTGATAGAATTCTGATTGGTTAGATCAGTGCCCCCCTTAGGTGGTTGTGGAAAGCATAAGAAAGAATAAGCAAAAATTCATAGTTACCTGTTTTGTTTCAGCTTGCAGAGTGAGAAGCAGATATTCAGCAGTGGTTTCAATCTCTGTGGGAGAAATGTGCTTCTCAACGGAGTCACCACAAGCCTTTAAACCAGGCCTTCTTTGTTCACATAGACAGGGATCTGTAGGTGGTTTATCAATTTATACCTATTAAACACACAGGATAAAGGGCAGCTTTCTAGTTATCACTTGGAAGAAAAAATGAGCAATGTTGCATTAATTTAAATGCAATTGCGAATCCTTTTTTTTTTTTTTTTGCACCCCCAATTCATTAATAGTGAGGATTCCCATAATCAGCCTTACCAGAGTGCTATTGCATTATTAGTGGGTTACACTAAGTAGCTATATTATGCCACACTGTTAACTTATCAAATAATACAGTTTTTTCCTAAAACCAATATTTTTTTTCTTCTGTTAAACGTGTAGACCCGGTTCTGATTGACACTGGGATGTTTGTGGTCAGCATCCAGTGGAATCACTGCGGCAGTGTGCTGGCTGTAGCCGGGTCCCAGAAAGCTGCAAACCAGGATAAGGATGTGAATATTGTGCAGTTCTATACTCCATTTGGCGAGGTAATGTATTATAGTATGGGCTAATTCTACTGGTATTTGGCTCATGGGAACTGTAGTTCATGACAGCTGGAGTATCACTTGTCAAGCGTCAGTGCCCTATTTCAGCATGAAATGTTCTATTCTTTCAGTACCAGCAGGTATTTGCAGGGTGTTTCTTTGTAAACAATGAGGATTTTGTATACTGGTTATAAAATATTGTGGTGACTGCATGTAATCCTCTTTAGATTGTTAAAACTAAATTGTTAAAATAAATCCTTCTGTATGTGACATTAGGGAAACCATCCCGAACTGTTATTCACATCAGGTATACTGACAGCAGGCTCTCACTTCTCACTGGGTGGCAACCAGACATGTATTGTCCTTTATGTAACTGCAATCCCTCCTGAGGGTTAGAGCGTGTTGCATGTCTATCAGATGGTATTCTTACTATTCTGTTACAATTTATGAACCCGATTGCAATGTGTATATATAATGCTGAATATTCAGCGATCTGGTGTTAACTGTATACCCTGTGTCTGTATGTTTTGTGTCTGAAAATTATTATAAAAAAAATGCAATAAAAAATATAAAATAGTGAAACCATCTGCACATTACATTTTCAGGTTACACATTGGGACATTTGCATTTATTATTTCTTCAGAGTTATTCAGTTACTCTCTTTCCGTTTGCTTCCCCAGCACTTGCGTACTTTGAATGTTCCTGGAAAGCAGATTGCAGCAGTGTCGTGGGAAGGTGGAGGACTAAGAATTGGACTGGCTGTGGATTCATTCATTTACTTTGCCAACATCCGGCCAGATTATAAGGTCAGAAGATCCTTCAATGTGTTTAGGAAATGGATGCAGGAACCTAACAAAGACTGGTGGTCATTTTAATATTTTAATAAATTAGCTCTTTTGTCAAGTGTTTTGAAAGGAATACAAAGTATAAGATACACTGTAATACTGGACTCCTAGTCCTTACTTTGGTCTGATACCTGTTGTACATATGTGTGTCTTTCATAAAATGAAAAAGTCCTGTCAGCCACTCAAAATCTAAGTGTAATATTATTTGATTAGTCAACAAAAATGTTAATTCTTTAAATTGACATCTGTGTTAAAAAACACTATAGCACTAGGAATACAAAACCCTTCTAACACTTCCCTTATTCCAGCGCTGAGGTCTGACGTCATCGCGAGGGGAACCTAATGCACACGTGTGGCAAGCCCCATGTGCACGTTAGGCCTCCCCTTAGTAAAGGGGATTCAGAAGACACTGGGCATCCTCATTCAAAGTGTGAGGACGTCCAGCATCGTTCCATGTAGTTAAACTCAGTGAAACTGCTATCTTGTAGACACCCACAAGAGGCAGTCTGAGGAAGGCTAGACGCCGAAACGTTGGGGTTGTATTATCTCCTGCTCTAGGTCAGTATGCCTGCATTGTTATAGGTTTCAACTTTGAGGACTTACTATTGTATCTATAGTGGTTATGGGTTTGTTATCTACTGTTTACATGCCTGTATTGTTGTCTGCACTTTCTTTGTATAACTTATGTTTATCTCAAGTTTACTCTGGTGTGCTTTGGGTTATTCTCTGCTAGTTAAACTCTGTGAAACAGCATGAACTGCCTCTAGTGGCTGTCTGGTAGACGCCCACAAGAGACAGTCTTAATTCTGCAATGAAAACCGTGCAGTTTCTTTAAAACTGCAGTATTAAGGGGGACAGAGACCACTTCAATCAGATGATGTGGTCTGGGTGCCTATAATGTCCCATTAAGGGAGTATGATACATAACTTTGAATAAAAAAAGCTATGGTCTGTGGTGAAGGAATTCTGTTTTGCCTTTTTGTGGAATATTGGCGCAGTAAGTGTCATGATTTTGGGCAGGTCAGACAGGAGACTTATGTCAGGGTTTCCTTCAGGTAGTTTATTTGTTTTTTCAGGCATGGTTCAGACAAAGGTAACAATACGAAATAATAAGTTAAACAGAGAAAAGGAATAATAAAGATAAAGGGGGTAAACAGAATTACAGGTGAGTAAATAGAAGGTGAAATAATAGAGGTTTAGGCAATGTGCCCCAAAACAGGAATACAGGAAATTGAAAAGCAATTAGTAAAAACTAAACAGGAATATAAAGGGATACAGTAGAACAGGTTGAAGCAAAGTAATGGAGGTGATCAGCCTCTTTGGGTTAAAAAACAAAACTGTAGATTCAAGGTGTTTGAGGATACTTGCAAATAATAATGGCCATAATATCCAGGCAGGTTGGGAGGAAAAACAATATGAAACCAAAGTCCAGTTTAGAAATAAAACAGGATTGAATCGGATGAAGCAAGATGGGATGAAACAGGCTGCTTGTAGATAAGTAGAGGTGGAGGAGGTTGTCAGGATTCAGGAACGGGTCTTTCTCAACATCAGGTTATAAACAAATCTCAGTATGAGCCAGGAGCAGAGCACAGCTTCTCTCTCTCAATGTGAGCAGGGTGTAACCTTATGAAGCCTCTTCATTAGTTCAGACAGGTGAGGATGATAAGGTGACTGAGGTGGCTAGGGAGGCCACAAGCAAGTATTGCATGAAATAATAAGAATAATAACCTGGTTGTCAGGATAGGATCATGACAGTAAGCTTGTGTTCCTTCTTAAGGGTTAGTGGGTTTACGTTTTAATGAACAATTTGCCATCCTTTTGTTTTTATATTCCAGCCTCTGCCCACTATAAGGGAGACCTCAATATGCTTTGATATGATATTTGAAGTGAGATATGCCATGGAGGACTGTAGCATGTGCACCCAAAAAGTATTTGTTTTCCTTTATTTATGCATTAAATGTTTGGTATTTGTTTTATGCAGTGGGGGTATTGTTCCAACACTGTGATATATGCCTACACAAGACCTGATCGGCCAGAATACTGCGTTGTCTTCTGGGACACAAAAAACAATGAAAAGTATGTGAAATACGTCAAGAGTCTGATTTCTGTTTCTACGTGTGGAGATTTCTGCATTTTAGCTACCAAAGTTGATGAAAATCATCAACAGGTTTGTATTTTGTTTATCTAAACTTAATAAAGCAATGCGTTATGACCATATGCTAAGAATCTCTGCCTGTATCCCATACTTGCGTGTTTTGCCTTTCCCTTGCATTATCTAAAGCCATAGATGGGTATGCCACTAGTAATGTATGTGTGCAGAAATACATTAATTTATGTAAGAATACATTTTGTATTTGTTTGTTTCTTCTTACAGGAAGAAAATGAGACTGAGCCAAATGGAGCAACGGTAAATCCCTTTTTACTATTAATTTGGTATTCGTTTTACCATACCCCATTTTGTAAAATACCCTCTAAGGATTGACAATTCCTTATCAAAAAAGAGATGCATACAATACATTTAATATTGGGTGCACGGTGGGTATGAGGTAAATGGGTTTTGTGAAGAGGTAGCAGAGCTTTAACAGAAAACCACATTTTAGCTGCTACATTGTGTAGGTGAAAGCCAGTGTGAGTCATATTCATTTTTATCCTATTAGATGCATATCTGCTTTAAAGGGACACTATAGGTACCCAGACCACTTCAGCTCATTGAAGTAATTTGGGTGCAAAGTTCCAGGTCCCTTAACCCTGCAAAGGTAATTATTGCAGTTTTTAATAAACTGCAATAATTACCTTTCAGAGTTAACTCCACCTCTAGCTAGCTGTCTACCAGACAGTCACTAGAAGGGACTTTTGGTCGACTAACTAATGCTATTCATGGGGACGTCCAGCATTACCCAAAACCCCATCGGAAAGCATTGCATAAGGTTTTCCTATGGGGAAGTCCTAATGCAAAAACGCCCATTATTTTTAACCCATTCTGCACCATGGGGGGAGGAGGGATTAAAAGCAATTGCTGTTTTTTGCATTAGGACTTCCCCATAGGAAAACATTATGCACTATAGTTTCCCTTTAAAATATCCTATAAAATATAGAGCTCAATTTAAAATTCTGGTTCTTGCTTTCAAATCTCTACATAATGCTGCTCCCACCTATTTATCCTCCCCTATACACAAGTATGTCCCGTCTAGGCCCTTACGATCTGCTGAAGACTTACATCTATCGTCTTTCCGTACTCCCACCTCTGATGGTCGCCTTCAAGATTTCTCGAGGGCTGCACCGTTATTGTGGAACTCGCTTCCCTCCTCCGTTAGATGCTCACCCAGTCTCCACTCCTTCAAAAAAATCGTTAAAAACCCACTTCTTCATAAAAGTGTATCAATTAAACTGTTAATAGCTCCTAACTGATTCCTGTTCTGCAACTGTCATTAGTCTAATACTATCCTTACCTTTTTGTGTCATTTTACCCCACTCCCTCTAGCATGTAAGCTCATTGAGCAGGGCCCTCAACCCCTCTGTTCCTGTGTGTCCAACTTGTCTGGTTACAACTACGTGTCTGTTCGTCCACCCATTGTAAAGCGCTGCGGAATTTGACGGCGCTCTATAAATATCATAATAATAATAATAAGTTCCCAGCCAGTCGACTACCCATTCGGTAACTAGTTTGGGAAGTCTGCCAACAAGAGAATTTCAATAAGTTTTGCATTAAACTCCACAAAGGCTATTCAGTATTCTGAATTATTTCTCTATGTTGGCTTGAGAAAACTCAAGAACTATGTTCAGACTATCTTGGCAATTAAATGAACACTATAGCATCAGGAATAGAAACATGTATTCCTACTCGATGAAGTCCTAACTATTTAGACTGTTGGACCCCCCTTTAAGGGTTAAAATATGCAATTTGCTTATATTGTATCCCCCAGCGCACTGGTCTCACCGTGGCCACCTGCTCTCCTTTGCTGCGATCATCAATATTGATGATCTCAGCCAATCCAATGAGAGAAACATTTTGAGGCTACTGTGCATGAGCTGCAAATATCTGTGCTGCGCCACTCCTAGAGCGGTATTTGATTGAGGTCCGATTTTGATTCAGTTCTCAACACAGAAACACCTGGTGACTGTCAGGAACTACAGGAAACTATTTCAGCCAAAAGCAGCAAAATGTATTAAAGTTGGGTTGATGCCTGGAGTGTCCCTTTAAATATTTGCCAAACCAAACTCGCCTTTGCTCTTACTGTATTTAAAAATTGACTTTAGAGAATTTCCAAAGAAGAGACACTCAAATGCATTATAGACTTAAATAAAATAATAGGTGGAAACATTTTGTATTGAAAGTAATGTACTAGAACAAGATGGCATAATTATTTTCTTTAGTATAGCACAGAACATTTTTGAAGTTGTATGGTTTGAGTGTGACTATTGTCTGATGTTCTACAAACATAATTTACTGATCTGCTTTCTAAATTAAGCCAAATGTGACAATAATTCTTTATTGTGACAGAGTAAGTATAACCAGGCAGGATAATCTCTCGGGAAACGTTTGTCTTACTATCTTTTTATTTTTTTTATTTAGTATGTTTTGGTTTTGTGCAATTCCATTGGAACACCACTGGATTCAAAATACATTGACATAGGTAAGATAAAAGAAGGGAAATGATCTCTGAATGTTGTTGATTAAGTGTAATTTGTTGTAAATAGATAAAAAATAATGCCAATTAAAAAAATAGCTAAAAAAAAGAATTATTGTATTGCTTATTATTGAATCATTACTGAAATGTTCCATAACATATATATTTTTTTTTTTGTATGTTTACAACCCCCTGATTAAAGGTGATACAGCTCATTGTATACAGACAGGATTTAATGCTAATTAACATTTACACTGCATATTGCATACTGAAGAATAACATGTTTAATAGCTACCCAAAACTCTTTAAAAATCTCTGTCCCAAATGTACATTTTTTTTCTTTGTCACTCAGTAAGGTTGAGTTAAACTTTTAGGTGTAACATATAGACGCTGATGAAATGAAGTTACTTTATATACTGTGATTATAAAGCAGGGAGGGATTTGTAATAAATCAGCCGAATATTTTGAACCGTTTCAGCATGTGATCTGTTATTACATAATAGCCTGAAAGAAGAAAAGTCTTTCAGTTGTTTGAAAGCAAATAGCAACACTGTGTACATACTGGCCACATTTAACAAATGGACCTTTCATCGCTCTGCGGTAAACCCAGCCAAATGTTAGCATTTGTCTACTTTATACTTCTCCTGCAAAATTCCTTTTTAACTTCGAGAAGCCAGCTCCAGAAGATCATTCCCAGGACCGAGAAAATAAGCTTTTTGTGCCATTGTGGAATGCAAATTCGGATGTGTTTGTTTTTCTCTCTAGTCTACTGCGCATCACTTCATTTGAAATAGTACTGAAAGTTTCGATTTAGTGTTACCTGCAGGGGAAGATGTTTCTATGCTTTATTTACATTACCTTGTTCCATTCTAAAGCTCTGTTCTGTATATGCAGCACACCATCAATCCAATGGCTTCACGGACAAATAAATCACTTGTCAATAGCGGGTATTTTCAGTTTAACTCTTTGAGTATCAGAGGGCTTAGCATTGCTTTGGTATAGTATAGAAAATAATACATCGCAACATTGAAACTATGTCAGAAAAGTATATTGCTTGAATTTATCTGTTCTAACATAATAATAAAAATAAATCATGATATTGTAAAAGCCCAATAATTCTATTTTGAGAATGACATTGGGTCATTGATTAGGATGTCTGATAGAAAGACACTTCCATTTTTTGCTGGTAGAGATTTACTGATCCACAACAGCTGTTGCCCACACTGGATTTATACAATATAATGTTCTTCATTCCGTAATGCTGGAACACATTATTAGAGATTCATATGCATTGTTCCCATCAGGATTAAGATACTGTGTAACCTCAGGTTCCACTTTTAGAGTTAATGGACAATCCATGTTTGTTTAGAGGGTACACATTTGGATTTTAACTGCCATCATTCCTACTCCTTAAAGAGGATAAAGAACTTATAGTTAGGCTCGTTTCAGCAGGGTCCTCTTCAACCTATTGTTCCTGTAAGTTTTTGTAATTGTCTCATTTATTGCTAAATCTCCCCCTGTTATAATATTGTAAAGCACTACGGAATATGCTGTCACTATATAAATACCAGTAATATTAATAATAGTTCTCAGGATCTCTGTTGTCTCTCTGAAACTAGGGCCACATCAATGAATGTACCATTGTAATAACGTGTACCATTATTTCTGGGCACTAATACGTCTGCACAGAGATAATGAATGCAGCACCATTAAGGACACTCAACATTTTAGCTAGTGAAATTGACTGATATGATTCATTTTAAAAATCATTTAGACACGTGGCAAGCAGCTTGGGCTTTCTACTCAATCCAGCAAAAATCTTACACGGTGACATAGGTTAAATATCTCTATATTATGTGTAGTTTGAATTATCTTTAATTTCCAAGTGACTAATCTTGGTCACAGTATCATATTCGGATATATTTCAATTTTATCTTCACAGTGCCAATGTTTGTCACAGTAACCAAGACCCATGTTATAGCGGCCTCTAAGGAAGCATTTTATATCTGGCAATATCGAGTGGCAAAGAGGCTTACAGCAATGGAGATTAATCAGGTGTCCCGGATCAGAAAGGAAGGTCGAGAACGGTAACTACTGTCCATGCAAAAATTGCATGGGTTTTTTAAATTTAATATTTTTTTTATTTTACACCATTTTCTGTCAGGAGGGTTTTGTGGAGGCTAGTTATGCTATCATACAATGGTATTTGTTGGCTTATTTCTGGAATCCTGATGCTTTCTTGTAGGATATTTCACATTGATGATGCTCCATCTGGGACTGTAGAAGGGACATTGGATTACACCAAAGCCACAGCAGTAAGTAGAATCTTAATGAAATCTGAGAATATAAAAATAAATTTCAAATTTAAAAGAACACTGCATCTAAAAGACACATCTAAATGAAGGAACAGACATCTAAAAGGTGTTATAGTGCCACGAGGCCTCTGGAGGCACTCTTACCTCAAGGTATTAAACCATTAATGGACGGTGACATAGTTTTTTATGGAGGCCGAGCTCACTGGTTATAGGTACCTCATCTCAATGTATTTTTTTTAAAGAGTGAGCAAACACATTATTTCTGCTAATAGAAGTTGCCCCAATATACTTTTAATTGTGTATAGTCTTGTGAGGGGGGATCTGTTATTATTTTCCTTTGATGTTTGCCTGTTTTACTCTATATTAGCGGTACTGCAGAACACCTGTCGGAGGGAAATACTAATTCTTAAGCCCTCTGCACTGCCAAGTCTGGAAGTGTAAATACAAAACCTGTGTTCTAAATCTCCAACTTTGCCAAGATCCAGGAAATAGTTACTTCTTTGTTTGTGCTGGTCATTGTCCAGTCAATTGCGTCTCATAGAGAAGTATTGAGGACGAAGCCTGTGATAGAGATGGCTGGCTTCCTTGAGATTTAAGATTCAATGTAATAAAAATGAATATGTTAAGACTCTCTGTTTTAGTGCTGTTTTAATATTTATATGTCTTATATGGTGTTGCTATATATATATATAGCTATTTTGGAAGGGACACAAAGTCGCAACAGAGTGGTTTTATTTTTTATTTTCCTTTTTTTGTTTTCTTCTGACCAATACACCTAGGAAGGGCTGAGGTCAAAAACCAGCATCAGTATGTTTTTTTAATTTGTTAGTAAAGTTAGATACACTTAAACACACACTATGTGGCCATCACCTAGCCATGGTCAAAATGTCTGGGGTTACCATGCTGTGCGTGCTGACACTACACACAAAGGTTGCACAAAACCGATTCTACCAGCTAGGAATAGAGTATTGCAGCTGTCAAAAATGGGTCGCAAGAGAATACTGAGAACGGGCAGCAAAATAGTCTCGGGGTTATCAAGCATGCTTGTGCAGTGAAGCTCAGACCACATACGGGCAGTCCAGACAAAGCAAGTTCTCTCTGCACACAAAACCGATCGTTTCAGCCTTGTTAGGCATCATCAGTGAGGCATAGGACACCGTGAGCAAGGGGTCCACGTCTGGATTATCCCTTTAAAATTGTGGAGAGTCAAAAATGGGTCGCAAGAGAATACTGAGAACGGGCAGCAGCTGAAATAGCCTGCCCTTCGGTCGGTCGGTATTGCAGCTGGCTGACAGCCTAGGGAGGTGGTCCAACTCACAAGAATAAAACCTCTTTTGAATCCAGAACAAAATATTAAAAAAAAAAAAAAAATCCTGTAGGCACAGGGTCTTGTCAAGAGCCAACATAAACTACCTAGACAAACTGGGCTGAGAGTGGATATGGAAGTGTCATTATCATCATCATAATTCCAAAATGACCAAGTATGTGTCTTTAAACCATATCGAAATGCTTAGGACAAAGTAAATATTTCTCATTATGCCATTTGAGAATTTAGTCACATTAGGATTTTATTTTTCAATATATCATTTTTGAGTTTTGTCACAGATAAAGAAGCAAATGAATGGAAAAATGCACGCATGACTAGTTTAACACAACAAAAAATTATGTTCATTATACAAGTGTGAGCAACCTGAAATCCATGAGTATTGACATAATATGCATAAGATTATTATCTTGCATTGACAGTGGCTTAAGCTACATCACTGGTGCATAACTGGTGCTTACAGAAGAGAAACTGGTTCACTAGACATATAAGCATATCTATAGCATCTGCGAATATGGTATTGACACCTAGGTAGGTGCTTATATTAGTTTTCCCATGGGTACGGTGTTGGCGAGATAGATAACTGCCATTTGTTACTCTGCCCTGGGACTACCTATATCACTTGGTGTATACCGAGGTGATCATGACCTCAAGGTCTTTGGGCCTTTCTGTTGACTGAGTACTTCGATAGTTCCGTTCATGGAATATACCCTTTGTTGAACCCGTATAGTTTCGTCATGCTAACAAATAACTTGGGGGACGGGGAAAAATGGGAAGGGTGTAGAACCGGTAAGGGGTGGGAAGTTCCAGGATAATTCTTTTGACGCATCTCCACAAACCTGTCAGCAAGGGACAGTCCTAAAATATATGTTTAAGGGTTCCTGTGGCTTGTTTACATCTTCAACACATCTAGGAGGCATTGGGGTATATTTGGGCAACTCTGGAAGGAACCAGATACCATCTCATTAATAGTTTACCAATGAGATAAGCTGCTGGAGGAAACTTTTATGAGTTGGATTGAGTCCCATTAGGATTTTAATGTTTCAGTTTTCTTTTTCAGATAACAAGAGATCCAGTCTGTTGCATCACTGCATCTGATAAAGTCCTCATTATGGTAAGTGGTCATTCGAACAGTATAGTTACACACTGCTGCTTCGGCAGTATTGTGTGTGTTGGTTAAAGTGTGACTGGGGCACTTATTACTGTAATTGCTAACTGTGGCACTGCAGATGTGCGTGGAGTTTATTCCTTGGGGTGCAGTGACAGAGCATCATGGAATAAAATTAAATAAATTCTGTGAACCTCTGCATTGCCCTTGTTATTCTTCACTGTGGTAATGATGATATGTTTAACACTCTGCCCTTATTATGGATCAATGGAAAACAACCATTTGGCACTTTAGCTAGTGGGGAGAAGGGTGCAGCAGTGCGGTCCCCTTTCTAGGTCCACAGTTTAGAATTGCTGCAGCGTTCGTATGTGACTTGTATTCCACCATTAATGCTTAGATTAATTAAGGTTTTCGTCAAGCATAGGTCTGAATATTTCACTCCAATCATATATAGCTACAAAAAGTGATCATGTGGCAAAATGAACACACTAAGTTAATAATTTAATGGCAATAAAAAAGACAGAAAAATCTTGATTTAATATTTTTGAAAAATATCAAAAATCATAAATACCTAAAAAAGTTATGCATATAGATGCAATGTAAAACTATAGTAATTTTAAATAAATGGTGTAGCAGATGTTACAGCAATACTTTTGATTTCTGTACATTCGCTGACTTTTGATCATTTTTTTTGTTTTACACTTTAAAGGCACACTACGCATTATAACATTTCAGCTCTGTGCTGTGCTTGGGTTTGCTGAATTTCCTTCTTCCGTCCGTCTACCTCTGACAGCTTAGAAAGTCTACTCTTGCAGCCTGTCATTGTCATCTAAGGGTGTAACAGCAGGGAAGGGGCTGGCCTTTAGTCTTTAAGTCCTGTACGAGACAGGTTTGTGTCAAACCATTTTAGGCAGTTTGACGATAAATGGAGTTTTACTGGAACCTGAAACCAAACACTTGCCTTCCCTTCGAATAATGAGGGAAAAAAGGATAGAATTAAGGTGCATGGAGAGCCGCATTTTATTTTGTCTTTTGTTCGCTTTGACAAAAAATATGTAAATGTCACCCAAAGACTCTTAACACCATAATCACTACAGCCGGCTCTATGATTTGGCCATTCATGTGTGGAATTACACTCATGTGTTAAATCCTTCAGAAATACTTGTAGCTTTGATTTATCACTAGTACATAATATGTTTCTGATCAATAAAAATGAGTACTTTACATAATTAACATGAGTGTCCCCATGTTTGTGATGTTTCTGTCTGCTCTAAATTCCTTTCCCCAGCATAACCAGTATTTCTGAATTATTTGCTTTTCTTTTTTTTTTTTTTTCTACAGTCGCGTGAATCAGGAATTGTGCACAGATACAGTTTACCTAATGTAGCTTTGGTGCAGAAATATAGCCTGAGCTACCGTGCATATCAAATGAGCCTGAACTGCAATTCCAAGTATGTATTCTGTGTAAATCTGTGTTGTTGCTTTTACTTGCTCAGCTTATATTGTTTTGCATGAAATTTCCTGACAAATAATCTATTGATAATAAGCCAAGTGTAGATGTGCAATAAATTCCTGCATAAACCTACTCATTCATTTTAAATGTTTTATAATTTTAACACATGTGATGCATTGTTTTTACTTTGATGGCTGTATTTTTATTTGACTATTTGTCTTTTTTCCCCAATGTTCAGTCGCCTGGCTATCATAGATATTTCCGGAGTGTTAACTCTTGTGGACTTGGAAGCCAGATACACAGATGATGCAGGGCAACAGTTGACTGGAGAGAAGCTTAATTTTGAACGCAAGGATGTGTGGGACATGAAATGGGCTAATGATAATCCCGATCTATTTGCAGTGATGGAGAAAACAAGGATGTATGTCTTCCGAAATTTGGATCCTGAGGTAAATACTCCTTCACCCTGTTGCTCCCCCTCCTACCATCCTGTCCTCCTCAAACTTTGCAACTCACTTCACTGAGAAGATTTCTACAATAAGGGAAGAGATCTCTAACCTCTCTCCCTTCCCTTCCAATTCATCACCCAACCCCACTCCCTCTGCTGTTCTATGCTCATTCGCACCTTCCACAGCGGAAGAGGTTTCTGCTCTGCTCCGGTCCTCCCGTCCCACCACATGTTCCCTCAATCCTATTCCCTCATATCTCATCCGCACTCTATCTTCCTCTCTTGCTCTTCCTCTCACTAAAATTTTTAATCTCTTCCTTTTCTCCGGCACATTTCCTTCACTCTTCAAGCATGCAACCATAATGCCTATTTTGAAAAAGCCCAACCTTGACCCCAACTCCCCATCCAACTACCGCCTTATATCGTATGCCGTTTGCCTCCAAGATCCTTGAGAGAGTTGTGTATGTGAGATTGACAGACTTCCTCAAATCCAACTCTCTGCTTAAACCGCTTCAGTCTGGATTCCGCACTCGTCACTCGTTGAAACAGCTGTGACCAAAGTATCCAACGATTTAATTGCTGCTAAATCTCGCAACCATTACTCTATCCTAATTCTCCTTGATCTCTCTGCTGCCTTTGACACTGTTGATCATTAACACTTTCTTCTCATTCTCTGTAATCTCTGTCTACGGGATACTGCTCTCTCCTGGTGCTTCTCCTACCTCTCCCAGTGCTCTTTCAGTGTTTCTTTCTCTGGCTCTGCCTATTCTCCCCAACCACTCTCTGTTGGCATTCCCCAAAGTTCTGTCCTTGGTCCCCTACTGTTCTCTATCTATACTACCTCCCTTGGTAAATTCATCAACTCCTTTGGCTTCCATTATCATTTATATGCAGATGACACGCAAATCTACCTGTCCTCTCCTGATCTCTCTACGCCCATCTTGACTCGTGTCTCTAACTGCCTCTCTGCGATTTCCAACTGGATGGCTGCTCACTTTCTTAAACTCAGCCTGTCCAAAACAGAACATCTGGTCTTTCCTCCCAGTTGCTACTCCCGTGTCTGTCTCCCTCCAAGCCACCATCACCTCTACCTCGCAGGGGCTCGCTGCCTAGGTGTTCTCTTTGACTCTGACCTCTTTTTCACCCCTCATGTCCAGTTGATCGCCAAATCCTGCTGCTTCCATCTCAAAAACATAGCTCGCATTCACCCTTTTTTAAACACCAGATGCGGCTACGGTGCTAGTCCATGCCTTTGTTCTTTCTCGCCTTGACTACTGCAGTCCCTTTCTCAGTGGTCTTAGGTGTTGCCAGATTGCACCACTGTTCTCTATATTGAATGCGACCGCAAAGCTCACGTTTCTGTCCGCCCCACCTTCCATGCCTTCCCCCTCTGTCAGTCCATACATTGGCTTCCAGTTACATATATGGCTCAATTTAAGATTCTGCTGCTTGCTTACAAGTTCTGTCATAATGCTACTCCAATCTACCTATCCTCCCTAATACACAAATATGTCCCGTCAAGGCCCCTGCGCTCTGCTGAAGACCTACGCCTATCCTCTGTCTAGACTCCCACATCTGACGCTCTCCTCCAAAACTTCTCCAGGGCTGCACGTTTTCTGTGGAACTCCCTTCCCTTCTCCGTTAGACTTTCACCCAGTCTCCACTCCTTCAAAAAATCTTTGAAAACTCACTTCTTCTGGAAAGCATATAATTTAAACTGTTAGCAGATTTTCATTCACCCCTCCCCCCCAGACTCCTCTCCTACAACTGTCAAAAATAACCTACTAAGTTCTCAGTGATTACTTTTCTAGCAGCCTATTTCATTACCCCTACTTATACCCTTTGTGTCACTATACCCCACTCCCTCTAGCATGTAAGCTCATTGAGCAGGGTCCTCAACCCCTCTGTTCCTGTGTGTCCATTTGTCTGGTTACAATTACATGTCTGTTAGTCCACCCATTGTACAGCGCTACGGAATTTGCTGGCGCTATATAAATAAAAAAAAATACGTGCGTATGTATTAGAATATTGTATTTCATTATCTATAAAGACGTGTTCTACATTTCTACAGGTCTACGATGGCAGGAAGTTTACTATATACTACATTTACATTTATTTAGGGTGTATTCATATGGATTTTGGCATTTTCCTATAAAACTATACATGTCATGTGATTAGTATTTGTCGGTGATCTAAGCTTCTGTAAAAGTTCTATTTAATAATTGAGGAGGGGTACCTAAATATAATTTATTTTATGGTGTATTTGTTTGTGTATTATAATTTCTTTTTTTTTTATGTCAATAATATATGTTCATAATATTTAATGTTTTTTAAAAAATCCACAGGAGCCAATCCAAACATCAGGATATATTTGCAATTTTGAAGACCTGGAAATAAAATCTGTTCTCTTAGATGAATTGTTAAAGGTATGTTCATTCAAAATCTGATGCCAATCTATCAACGTGAACATAAAAATGATCTAAGACCTTGCCTGTGTTTTCCTTCCTTGCAGGATCCTGAACACCCAAACAAAGATTACATCATAAACTTCGAAATCCGCTCCCTCCGAGACAGCCGGGCTCTGATCGAGAAGGTCGGGATTGAAGATGCTTCTCAGTTTATTGAGGACAATCCTCATCCTCGTCTTTGGTAAATCATTTCTTTCTAGGAAGAATATGGGATGAATCCCTGGAGATTGTTAAATGGCACGCCAAGTAACTATAATCTTTACTGCTTATTGTACTGCTTGTGGTTCTAGAAAGCTGTCTCTACAAACTTGGCTTTTACTTTCCTCACATTTTCTTTATTTTTGGCTTGATATCTGGCATCTAAGTTCCACTTCCCATCATACATTTTAGGGTTTTGTTGCATCTTTGGAAGGGTTAGCTATAGGGTTAGCTATAGGTCATCACATTATCCTACAGCTCGGTAGGAGATTGCATTTTTGCGTTTGACTATGAAATAGTTTTTATGTTCTTTGTGCAGCCTCAGTAAGAATGTGAAATGCGTACAACATTCTTTTGATCAATGTTATTTAAAAACTTGTAAAAAGTATGCTGAAGAAGTTGCAGTTGCCTTGCTGGTGCAAATACTGTAATGTGGTAAGAATTACTAAATCGAAAATCCTCATGCCTGCTTTTTGCTACCAAAACTAAATTGGCCTGATTGTTTCGATGATGATGTCTTAGCCATTCAACTATGGTTTTCACCATGCTTTGCTTTGAGTTTTTCTTTAAGCTCTGCTTGTGCTTGTTACACATTTTATTGGAGGAGGGATAATAGAATATTTACAGAGTAATATATAGTGGAATCCTTTTAGGATTATTGGAGTGATTGACCTTAGACTATCCAGGGCTTACACAGAGAGAGGATCTGTTCCGTTTGTGTTACTTCCAGCAGTTCCATGTGGAATGTGAAGGACATTCAGCTTTTTTACAGAACGGTCTAGACTGCAGGAAGGATGGCATGTCAAGCATAGCTTATGGAAATCATGCAGAGCTTTACATATATACAGAAAATAAACAATACAACAAAGTCCTCATTGTAGGAAAAACTGCTTAATCCCATGTGCGGTACAGGCCATAATGTTATTGCAGACAAATATGGCTTAATCATGACATGTGACAGGTGTGTAATCAAACAGATAAAAGTTTTATTTTGAAATTAACATAATGTTAAAATTTTAATTTCATGGTATAAAGCTCACCTCTTTTGACATTTTATTGACTTTTTTTCATTAATGTAACTGGAATTGGTGAGTAAGCTAATTTCTCAATTTTTGTAAATCTCAATATTTGTTGCTGTTTTGTATATTGACAAATAGGCGTTTACTAGCCGAAGCGGCTCTGCAGAAGCTAGACCTTCCAACTGCTGAACAGGCGTTTGTACGCTGTAAAGATTACCAGGGCATAGAGTTTGTTAAACGACTGGGTAACCTGCAGAGTGAGTCCATGAAACGAGCTGAGGTTTCTGCCTATTTCGGCAAGTTTGAAGAGGCGGAAAGAATGTACTTGGACATGGACAGGAGGTATGAATATGTTAAGAAGGGGAATGTTTGCCAGTGAGATGTTGGTTCTCTGGGGCTGCTGATGTTGTAATTACTTGTACGTATGGAAATTGGAAACAGTGGTAAATGTGGTCAGCATTGTGTATATTTAATGGGGAGGTTATTAAGGTACCACCCAGATCCCCTGTCTTTATAATGAGGATGCAAAGCAAAAGTTTGGAAATCCATCATCTCTGCCCCTGTCGGCCTTGCTCTTTGAATGATTAATTCAAAATATATATTTTTCCTTATCATATGACCTTACATGCACATCTATAGTGTGAAAAATGCAGGAGGCCCATTGACCATTAATCATTTCACCATCAAGAGGCGTTAATGGTTAAAAGAACCTGCCTTTAAGAAGCCGCACAGAGACTTTGCGTAAAAGGAAATTTCTTTCTCCGAATGTAGATTTCAGGAACTCTGGAAATGACTCACTCTAATGAGAACATTTATATCTTTTCAGAGATCTGGCCATCGGCCTTCGAATAAAATTGGGAGACTGGTTCAGGGTATTACAGCTGCTGCGCACTGGTTCTGGTGATTCAGATGACGCGCTGCTGGAACAGGCGTATAATGCCATCGGTGACTATTTTGCAGACCGGCAGAAATGGTAAGAAAAAAAATACAGTTTAATTGCTGGGAAGTTAAAACATTTATATATTTTTGCTGCTGAATGTCTATAGAATAAATTGTATGCTCACCTGACTTGTGGTTCGATTAGAGGTTACGTAAAATAATTATAAATGCAGGTATTCCTTACCAAAATAGATAAAATACACGTTTTAAACACCTACATGATTAACCATGAATAGAGATTAGAGCTTTCTGAACAATGTACGTGGTTTATTTGTTATGAGATCTGAATTGTTAAACTCTGGATAGTCTAAATTCCACTGCTTGCTTTTGGATTGCAGGTTAAATGCCGTACAATACTATGTACAGGGCAGGAATCAGGAACGCCTGGCAGAGTGTTACTATATGCTGGAAGATTACGATGGCTTGGAAACGTTAACCAACTCACTTCCAGAGAACAACAAACTTCTTCCTGTAAGTCACAAAGTTCTGCCAGGCATTGGCAGTGTGTGCTACCAGAGAATAGCTACTGCTAGTTGGGTTAATGACTGAACCTAGCCATCACTACATCAGGAAAATTCTAGAGTTTATATAGTGTTTATTTCGAGAGATTATATCGATGGCTGGGAAGAATGGTAGATTAGTGACAATCTTTATTGGGCTGACTATTTTTTCATGATCTGTACATATGTTTCATGCCTGGGAAAAGGCCCAGTAGACACTGTTTAAGAGATCATCACCTACGCAGTGAAAATTTTAATGCATTTTAGGATTAGGATCTAGTGACAAGGCTGTGCTTTAGTATGTTCCTCTAGTTGACCTACTTTAGACCTAGCCAAGGTGGGTGCTTAATGTTAGGTATGTGCTTGTCCCAGAGGGATTACGTGCAAACTAGAGCCTAGTTAGAGAGTAGCTGTAGTTCACTTAGAGCAGAGATTTGACAGTTTATCTAATGCATCATTACCCAGTATCAGTGCACTGCTAATGGCTATTACTCAGAGTTCTATGACTTCCTGCTACATTGTGATTTCTGTATGGAAAGGAGGATGCAGAGCTGGATTGCTTTTTTAATGGATTGATTATGTTTTCTGGTGCAAGAGAGAATGGTATTGGCCTCACCAATATCACACTATTATTATCCACATATTTAAAATCAACTAAAAAAGTTACTCACTAAATAAGTGTTACTTATCAGAAATTTACAATTAATTTAGAGGAGCACTATAGGGTCAGGAACACAAACATGTATTCCTGACCCTATAGGGTTAAAACCATCATCTGGCCACCCTGTCCCCCTCATGCCTCCCTACATATAGTAAAATCTTACTTGTATTCAAGTCTGCAGCTTCTTACTTTGTCCCTGTTTCCTTTAGACCTACCCACTGCCAGATGACAACATCAGAAGTGGTGGTCTGAGACAATCACAATGCTTCCCCATAGGATTGGCTGAGACTGATAAGGAGGCAGATCAGGGGCAGAGCCAGCACAATTCAAACACAGCCCTGGCCAATTAGCATCTCCTCACAGAGATGAATTGAATCAGTGAATCTCTATGAGGAAAGTTCAGTGTCTGCTTGCAGAGGGAGGAGATACTGAATGTTTGGATGCATTTTAGGCAGCTATGTCCCAGTAAGGGTCTTTAACAGCCATCTGGGGAGTGGCTAGGGAAGTTATCACTAATCTGTAATGCAAATACTGCATTTTCTCTGAAAAGAGAGTGGTTACAGCAAAAAGCCTGAAGGTAATGATTCTACTGACCAGAACAAATTCAATAAGCTGTAGTTGTTCTGGTGACTATAGTGTCCCTTTAACGTTTTAGGCTAAAATTGCCAAGCTGAAAACATTGCTAATTTGGAAACCGTTTCCAATACAGCTATTTTAGACTAAATTGTGAAGTTCTTTTTGAATTCTCAACAATTCTTAAGAGCAAAACCCTTCTGTGCAATCATATCTCGATTTCATAAAGACACTGTATCCGCAATCGCTTGCATGGTAGAGAATGCTCACAGAAAACTCAATGCATTCGCTAATCATATACTGCTTGCAACAGTTTGTGGTTTTGTTTTTCATGTGCTCCACAGGATATCGCCCGCATGTTTGTGACCGTGGGGATGTGTGAGCAAGCAGTGGCAGCATTTCTTAAATGCAACTTACCCAAAGCTGCAGTGGATGCCTGTGTACATTTAAACCAGGTAGGCAGGTTTATCAATATACAGAAATACTGATCGACTTAAAGGAGCACTGTATCTTCAGTTTGTTGTGAGAGATCAAAATGCATCTTCTTATAAAGTATACTTGTTTAACTGTATATTATCGGTTTGTAGACACCAGTGTGTTTTCAATATAATTATTTTCTGTAAAAGCTTCAGGTCTGTGGATAAAATATTAAATACTACAACTTTAAACTTTGGTGACCTAAGATGCCAATTCCGTGAACAGTAAAATGACAAGTTCACAACACTTGAAAAAACAAATCTTGGAGTCGCTGCAATAGCTTTTCTTAAAATTGTGGCAAACTCTGAGGGCTTCAAGATTGTGGTGATATTCCAACATGGCCGCCTACACTTTTCTATCTTCAGATATGTTAGCTTTAGCTTGTTTAGGGCACAAACATATTAAGTTGTTGGGAATATGGTCTTAAGTTTGAAATAAAGACAAGGTCAAAAGGCAGACTTTCTTTTAAAGGGAGCCTGCAGCCACATCTCACCATGATGAAAATATTAAAGTAACCGTATCAACTGTAAAAAAGATACTCATCTTTGATTCTTCTATGCTTGTTGCTGTGGAGATGTACAGCATTTATTATTTAGGCCTCACCATTAGTTTCATTCATAAAAAGAGTTTGACATGGATCAGGGCCGGCCCAAGACATTGTGACGCCTGGATCCAAGTATGAAATGCATACACATGTCCATCGGGTGGCCCTAAGGGCAGGGCATGGGTCACCGGATGGACCCGCACACAGGTTCCCAACCCGTGCGGTGCTGCTGCACTGCCGCCAAGGGTTGGGAAATCCTGTTTTAGATTATGACAGGGGCGGCAAAATGCCACCCTTGTCAGAGTGCCGCCTGGAGTCGTGGCTCCTGCGCGGTCTATGGACGGGCTGGCCCTGACATGAATGCACACGCTAGGAGACTGGGAATTATGTGATAAGAATAAATCACAATGATATGCTCCTGATTAGAAGCTTATTCATTATGACCTACAGTCCAGAGCCAGCTCATTTGCTGAGAGCGTTAGTTGAGCTCTCTCAGACAATGAGCCCTGTGGTGCATCACTGGACTAGCTTGATGCAGAGAGCTTCCGGCTTCCATTCCTAACATTAAATATTCTGACTACTTATCCTGGGAGAGCACCTATTATTATTATTATTATTATTATTATTATTATAAAGCGCCAACAGATTTTGCAGCGCTGTACAATTAGTGGAGAACATACAATATACACAGATTCCGCAGTGCTGTACAATTAATGGAGACAAATACAGACAAATACAAAAGGTAGAGAGGGCCCATATACAAAGTGCATAGGTAAATAGCCCGTGAGAGTTCAATCTAAAGGCACTCACTCCTAGCATAGGTTATTCCCCCTTCCCCTCATTGTTTCCTTTTAACAGACTATCATATTTATTGTTTCCATAGCATAGTAACAGCTCTCAGTGGACTGTGGGCATTTTGTTTTGCTCCCTGACATTTTCTGGCCTTACATATTCAATAAATGGCAATTTGTGTTTTTAAACTGCTATTTACTATTTTTTTTCATCTTTGTTTCCACTGGTTTAAACTTTGACATATAGTTCCTACTTGAAAATATTGAATAAATCACTTCTGGTTTTGTGTGTATATATATATATATATATATATATATGTAGCCGTATTAGTCCAGTGATGTATTTTTTTAAAATTCTTATCTTGTAATACCTTTGTCTTATCTACACTCATGTCGCTTTAACCCCTGTATCACAACTCAACTTTGAATTCTATGTGTCATTTTGCTCAGAAATGCTTCAGACTTGAGAAAGGGAGGTTCTCCCGAAAGCTTGTCATTAAAAAAATCTGTTAGTCCAATAAAAAAGGTATTGCAAGATAAGAATTTTATCTGTTTTTTACATATATATATATATATATATATATATATATATATATATATCAACAATGTAGTTTTGATCATGACCTAAAAGCCACTTTATGGATAGATTTTGCATAAGTGGACTGTAGTTTATGACAACAAATGATACTTTTATAGATTTTATATATTCCCATATATTTGTGATTTCATAACAGTCAATGAATTTTGTTTTACCTTAGTGGAATAAAGCTGTAGAACTGGCTAAAAATCACAATATGAAAGAAATTGGGTCGCTGCTTGCCAAATATGCCTCTCATCTGTTAGAAAAGAATAAAACGCTGGACGCCATTGAACTTTACCGAAAAGCCAACCACTTCCTTGATGCTGCAAAGCTCATGTTTAAGGTACAGATATCTGTAAGATAATACTTTGTGCTATGGTTGTTCTAATAGCAATCTGTATATAATAAACTAAATAGAAAAAAAGATTTTAAATAACTTGAGATAGTGAGCTTTATATTTTATTTCACTTGAATTTGTACACAGGCCTGGCATGAAGGACTCTGTCAGACGATGTATACAGTGCCTGGCAAGAAGGACTCTGTCAGACGATGTATACAGTGCCTGGTGTGATGGCCTCTGTCAGACGATGTATACAGTGCCTGGCATGAAGGACTCTGTCAGATGATATATACTGTGCCTGGTGTGAAGGACTCTGTCACAGGATGTATACAGTGCCTGGCATGAAGGACTCTGTCAGATGATATATACTGTGCCTGGTGTGAAGGACTCTGTCACAGGATGTATACAGTGCCTGGCGTAAAGGACTCTGTCAGAGGATGTATACAGTGCCTGGCATGAAGGACTCTGTCAGAGGATGAATACAGTGCCTGGTGTGATGGCCTCTGTCAGACGATATATACTGTCCCTGGCGTAAAGGACTCTGTCACAGGATGTATACAGTGCCTGGTGTAAAGGACTCTGTCAGACGATGTATGTAGTGCCTGGTGTAAAGGACTCTGTCAGAGGATGTATACAGTGCCTGGTGTGATGGCCTCTGTCGACATTGTTCATCAGGGGAGCCCAGTCTGTAGTGGGATCTTTTTTTGTTAGCCAGGATAACATGACCTACCACCATATCAGAAGTGGTGCTGGGGAAAAGGCTGTGTCATTTATGCTATTAGTAGAAGCCCCTACTGCAGAACACTTATATCAAACAGCCCCTAGTATGAATTACATATTAATATTGTAAGTGGTATTTATAAAGTACCAGCATATTTCACAGTGCATATATGCCCCTGCTCCACAGTCCCTTAATATATAACACACAAGTCTCATTCCCAGTCAGACTCGCACTCTCCCATACATACAGTCATACCTACTTTCCCATATATACACACATGCACACAGTCATACCCACAGTCTCCCATACATACACATGCACACAGTCATAACCACACTCTACCTTACATACAATCATGCACACAGTGATAACCACACTCTACCTTACATACATTCATGCACACAGTTATAACCACACTCTACCTTACAAACATTCATGCACACAGTCATAACCACACTCTACCTTACATACATTTATGCACACAGTCATAGCCACACTCTACCTTACATACATTCATGCACACAGTCATAGCCACACTCTACCTTACATACATTCATGCACACAGTTATAACCACACTCTACCTTACATACATTCATGCACACAGTCATAGCCACACTCTACCTTACATACATTCATGCACACAGTCATAGCCACACTCTACCTTACATACATTCATGCACACAGTCATAGCCACACTCTACCTTACATACATTCATGCACACAGTCATAGCCACACTCTACCTTACATACATGTATAACTTTTTACCATCATCCATTGTCTCATATCACTCTGTCTCACCTTATTTTGTCAATCATCTTACTACTTATGTCTCCTCTACCCCCACTCCGCTCTCTCTCTCTGCTACACCTCGAGTTTGAAAATAAATCAATGTAAAATTAAAAATATATTAAAAAAGTAAGAAACTTTTTTTTTTTTTTTTTAAAACACATAAATTGATAAGCAGCTAAAAGCATTAAAATTAGGTGACTAAATATTATAAATATAAAGAAAACAAAATGATAAGTCTGGTTAGTGCTTAATAAGAGTACCGAGGACAAATATCAATAATTTATCAGCCATAACTGTTAAAATAAATTCCTAAAGCCATGCATTTTTTTTAATACATACATAGATAATTTGAGTTAAAAAAAAAAAAAAAAAAAGCGCAACATGAATATGGTTAAATAAATGTGTGATAACGGTTTACTAGTTTAACATCTGTGAAGTAGTGCTGCCCTCTAGTGAAACTCTTACACACTGCAAATAACTATACTGGAATTTACCAACTGATGCACAGAACTAGTGAATGCATGTCCATATCTTACATTTTTTGAGGTGTGGGGAAGTGTTGATCTTTTTGGATTGAAAAATGTAAACAATGGTGTAATGTGTGCACCAGCAGGAACAGATGATATGTGTGGATTTGTTGATGGCAAATAAGTAGGGACATTTTTAACACTGTGTTTTAAAGGTGATAGCATGGGAAGTCCCTGGTCCTGAGTAGATGGTATTGTTATTGTATGTTCATACAATAAATATTATATGACATAAAAACTTCTGGAGAACCCGCTTCGTCTCCCAAATATCCGATATCCCACAACCCGGCGTTTCAATCAAAACCAGGAACCGCCTCATACTCCAAAGACCTCATAGGATGACCAACACGTATATACAACTACATACCCTCCTTCAGGTCAACAAATTGAAACCAATTTCTGACCTCACAGTGAGCACCATGCCACACAAATTAGAAATGTTTCACTACTCACGCTTGCAGCATTTCCTACAAACGCTACCAATCCCAGACCTAGGTCTAAGAGAGGAAACAAAATTTGAACGCATGTGCTCGATAGACAACCCCATCCCCAAAAAACTATCCAAATGCTACGAACTACTATTGCCACTACTCTACCCAAGACCTCCAGCCTATACTCAAAGCTGGAATGACTACATCTCCCCCTCAGCTGTCAGAGGAAGACTGGTACCCCATTTTCCAGAGGAGTGCCTCTGCCCATACCAGCATTCCATTAGTGGAGGCAAACTATAAATTTATACATACATACAAAATAGGTGGAGAATCTTGGTTCGTTGTACAATGGCATATAAAATATATTAAAGACTGTAAAGACAGAAAAGACACAATCTAGTGCAATATCGTAAAGTGCAATAGTGGCTTTAAATATAGTTTGTAGTGGGTACTTACAAACCAAGAGCCAAACGAAACTGGCTCAATTTGGACGCCTGTGGGATAGTTGTTAGGGTTCCCACTCCCTCTCTGTGTAGCAGCTTGTTCTGTATCCCTTATATTAAATAAGGAGAAGGGACCATATCCACAGATCTGAATTCTTCTTTAATAAAAAAGGAAAATACATAAAAAATACAATCCCACTTAGGGTAAAAAGTGGGATTGTATTTTTTATGTATTTTCCTTTTTTATTAAAGAAGAATTCAGATCTGTGGATATGGTCCCTTCTCCTTATTTAACATAAGGGATACAGAACAAGCTGCTACACAGAGAGGGAGTGGGAACCCTAACAACTATCCCACAGGCGTCCAAATTGAGCCAGTTTCGTTTGGCTCTTGGTTTGTAAGTACCCACTACAAACTATATTTAAAGCCGATATTGCACTAGATTGTATCTTTTCTGTCTTTACAGTCTTTAATATATTTTATATGCCATTGTACAACGAACCAAGATTCTCCACCTATTTTGTATGTATGTATATGTTTTAACTTTCATGTGGATTGAGGGATTACCACGTAGGTGTTTGTGAGTAATTTGGTGTAAGTTGAAATCACCCGCTGTAACTCAGTAATTGTATTACATTGCGCAAACTATAAATTGCTTGCGAGGTGTTATTACACACTTAGACACCCTAAACTTCGCTCCAGAAAGCACAGGCCTTTGCTGGCGCTGCGAGAAGGACACTGGCACACTCTAACACCTTTGGTGGCAATGCAACCTCATAACTGGGTACTGGAGGGAAGCCCCCCTTTCCCCCCACCCCCCCCACTGTCCACAGTTATTCACCCTGTTATCTTCACTCCCCACCCTCACGGAGGGGCTGGTTCATTATCAGATTTGTTAAACATCCAATACAAGGGAGCAGGACTACAAACCCCCCTTAGATAACAGAGTATTTTCCCCCAAATAGCAACAAGATGTAAACATTGAATCAAACTCTCTCCATATCTTTACCATGTCATGCTTAGGGACACAAATTTGACATGTAGTAACAGATGTATACCCATATCATATTATTTTTCACCATGTATTGCATGTTCTACAAATATGGGAGATAATGGATGTGCAAATGTCATGAATGTCATATACCAACCCTCTGTTTGTAATAAAAATGTATAATTAAAAAAAAAAAAAACTGCTGGAGAATTTACAGTGGAAAAAGATGTGTGATAGCCCCATTACAGCAGCTACAATGATTTCGATCTGAAATTCACATTAATGCCTTTTTTCTAGATAGCAGAAGACGAGGCAAAAAAGAGGACAAAACCCCTACGTGTTAAAAAGCTTTATGTCCTGGCAGCTCTCCTAGTGGAACAATACCAGGATCAGATGAAGAACACGCAAAAAACAAAACTTAAAGGGAAGCAAACAGAGGTATGAAAATCCTTGTGTTTTCATGAATGGCAGGTGTTTTTTCCTAGCTGAATATGTGTACTATTGCTGGCAATGCTCTGTGTACGTCAGTAGCTGCCCATATAGGTAGATCATATATAAATACATTTATATATTTCACCCTAGTGGCTATGAGCTACCTAAGGCCTTGATTTAATAAACTTTCAAAATTAATCAAACTTTCAGAATTAATCAATAATGTTAGATTCCAAATATTTGAATTATTTATCTACAAAAATTTCCATAAAATTTAATGCTAAATGCAAAAAAGAGAAAAATATGCTGGCTTTCCAAAGCTCAATAAGGAAAATTTATTGGAACCAAGAAAACTGCAAAATGTCAACTTCAGAATGGGTCTTTGTCAAGCTGAAACGTTGCTGGTTTCTCTTCCTTGGATTTAATATTGTACAGGGATTTTTCTAGCCCCTGGTTTGGTTGCACCCAATTATTCTACTCTCTTGAATGAGTGCAGTTCCTTCATATTTGTTGGTCTATCTATAAACCTTAATGGAGACTTTTGTAGTTAAATAATTTGGGTGGTTTTTCTAACAGTATTGAATCATTTGGATAGCTTGTTAAATTAAAGCCTAAATTGGAAATCTAAAAGTGGCACACTGGTTTATAATGGCCCTGTTACCCTGAGTCTGGTAGCACATGTATCGGTCAAACAATATTTGGATGCACTTTTCTTTTCCTTAGCATTGTGTAGATGTCCCATACATCTACAGAAACACATTGCCTGCAGCCACACACAATACATCATTAATATTTATTTTTATTGCGCTGACAAAAAGACAAATAGAGTGAGCTCTTCCTGATGGTCTCAGCTAAGGAAGTGAGACGGGGGAGGGGCAGAGCCAATCAGCAGTTCTTCATAGAGATTCATTGAATCAATGCATCTCTATGGGGAAAGTTCAGTATCTCCAGTCTGCGCAGGTCTGCTGGCACTGGCTCCACCCCTGATCTGCCTCCTTGGCTGACATCATTAGAATTGATGATCTCAGCCAATCACAATGCTTTCCTATAGGAATTTGGCTTCCACTTTAACATGGGTAACCCCCTCTCGTTCCCTCTCCCCCCATGTTCTTCCTAGAAATATTTAAATTAGTTCACTGTTTCTTTTTTTGTACTAGTGAAATATCTTCAACTTTGTAAAATTGTAGCTTTATCATTGGGATTGTGACGAGATGACAGAGTGATTGCCCATTTTTGGCTGAGAAAGCAGAGCTGCACAATTCTAGAACTTCTCAGTTTGGCTGTTTCACACTTGCATATATATATCTCCCTTTTTAGTTCTCTACATTTTCTGGTTTAAAGAAAAATTGTATGAATTTAGAATCATTGTTTAGGTAGGCAGAAATTGTAAATTTGAATATAGCCCTCAAAAATCTGTGTGGGAAAACCACCGATTTGAAACAGGTGCTTCCCATGATATAAATCACTGACGGATATTCTGTTTTTCAGGCTACATCTGCCTTGGCTGGGTTGTTGGAAGGAGACCGCATGTTATCAGACAGTCGAATTATTGACAACCCTTGGCGTGGAGCCGAAGCTTATCATTTCTTTTTGCTCACTCAGAGGATGCTGTATAAAGGCTATGTGTCTGTCGCTATGAGGACAGGTGAGATCAAGGGATTGCGTATTTTAAAATAAATACAAGTGAAAATCTTTGTGTTGCTCATGCTGCACTAAAAATTAGTCGTTTATGTTTAGCCCAACCTTGTTTTTTGTAGAAATTTTTATATATATTTTTACATTTTTTTAATGCAATCTTGTGTTATGATTAGCTAAATCTTTACATTAGTTTTTACTTTGTTTTCCTTCCCAAATGCAGCAAAGTACAGTTTTTTTTTTTCTTCAACCAAACAATTTCAGTTACTGTGGCCTAAAATTTTAAATTCAATTTAACGCATTAGTGAATAACCTTACAAGTGTTACATACAACAAGTTAAAATACATTTCGAAAACAGAGAAAAGTTATTTAGAATGACATTATTGAAACTGCATATAATAAATTGTGAAGTAATAATATAACGAAATAGAAGCAGTTATATCAGCATGCCTGGATCATTGTGAAACAGTGACATTGAAATGACAATGCTCTTTATTTGGTTGTGTTACATAATGTAACAGGCTGAACGCTGTGAAACAGATTTTGAGGTTGCAAGTTGGATAGACTAATAGAGGGATCCCTTCCTAATGGGATAGCCTTCTCTTTGCATTAATTCTTTGCTTTTTCATTTTTAGCTCTTTATCTGAGAGATTACGAAGACACCATTCCGGCAGTAGAAATCTATTCCCTTTTGGCCCTGTGTGCCTGTGCTAACAGAGCATTTGGTACATGTTCCAAGGCCTTTATCAAACTTGAGTCTTTGGAGAGTTTAAACGCTGAACAGAGGCAGCAATACGAAGATCTTGCTCTGGAAATTTTCACCAAACACAGTCCTAAAGATGACTCGAAATCCGAACCTGACAATTTCCCTGAAGGGTATGTTAACTTATTGTTGTGTAACATAAGGCAATATTGAAACCAGAGGTGGTCAGAAGTAGATGGCCAAGCTGTCTCATGGGAGGTGCATTTCTACAAAGGTTGGGGATCTACCTAGTGGCCACTCCTGGTTTAAACTTTAGGTTTAAAATGTATACATGTGGTTTAAATTATATTCTACTAGAATCAAGTTGCAGTCCCAGTGGGCTTTAGAGCTCTGCAGGTTAACATTTATGTGCAAACAAAGCAAAATGATTTGGTGTATCACTCTTTAAACGTCCAAAATGGCCGATGTTGCTAGAATGTAATGCCACTCACCATATCTGTCTTGCATCTGTGCAAGAGTGCACATTTATTTTGGTAGATCAATGCTTACCTAGTGATAAGAAATCTCTTTGGTGATGTCTATTGTTTGACTCTGTTGCACAGAGTGTTTTGCACTCTATCCTGGAGACCCAACTGTTTATTAAGGCAGAGTGAGTAGAAAATGGAGAACAATGAATGGAGGTGAGCAAACATTGTTCCCGCAAAATCCATTAGATCATTAGGGTCTACTAAATTAAGCCATACCCTTAAAGGTAAGTCACAGTCAGGCGACGATGTATTGTTCATGCACATGGCCTACCTCATTGCAGTTAACTTTTTGAGTCAAGGTGTTTCCCACAGCAAAAATGGCTGCCGGAGTCCTCTTGTACATGGTTTAATGTTTTTTCTCTTTTAGAGAGGAATGTTAAAGGATCACTATAGGGTCAAGAACAGAACCATGTATTCCTGACCCTATAGTGTTAAAACCACCATCTAGCCCCCCTGGGCCTCTCATGCCTCCATAAATATAGCAAAATCTTACTGTATTCAAGCCAGAAGCTGTAACTCTGCATGCTGTTTGCCTCAACAACAAAAAAAACAAGCAGTCTGCTGACCTCATCAGAAGTGGTAACCTGATCCAATCACAATGCTTCCCCATAGAATTGGCCGAGACTGACAAAGAGGCAGATCAGTGGCAGAGCCAGCAGAATTCAAACACAGTCCTGGCCAATCAGCATCTCCTCATAGAGATGAATTGAATCAATGAATCTCTATGAGGAAAGTTCAGTGTCTGCATGCAGAGGGAGGAGATACTGAATGTTTGGATGCATTTTAGGGAGCCATGACCCAGGGAGGATCTCTAACAGCCATCTGAGGAGTGGCCAGTGAAGTTATCACTAGGCTGTAATATAAACACTGCATTTTCTCTGAAAAGACAGTGCTTACAGCAAAAAGCCTGAAGGTAATGATTCTACTCACCAGAACAAATTCAATAATCTGTAGTTGTTCTGGTGACTATAGTCTCCCTTTAAAGGGAGGTTCCTTCCAGACTGTGCAACAGTCTTATATTATATCTTTTATTTTCTCAAATGTAATAAAAAAAACATGTTAAGCTTTACATCACAGTGTGTAATAAAAATGCTTTTTGTTTCCTGCAGTGGTGATGGAAAACTCCCAATATGCATTGCATCAGGAAAGCCCATTACGGAGTACCAGTTCTGGATGTGCAGCGTGTGCAAGCATTGTGCGCAGGAGCGAGAGATCACTTCCTACAGCTTCTGTCCTCTATGCCATACCTTGATATCATAACTCTGGATTATGCTACAAGTTGTGCTTTAAACATTCAAACATCAGATTCCCCCTTGAACAGGGGGTGTATAAAATACTTAATGCAGAGCTGCATTTATTTTATTGCACTGAGATACACATGCACTGTGAAAGGTGCAATTTAATCTCCCTTGCTTAACATTTTTTCAAAAGTTGCACTTTTTTATTAGAAGAGCGCCATATTAATTTATATATTGTTTATACTGATTGTACAAGGTAGAAAAAAATACTTTCTTATATGTTCATTAGTATTATAGGACACTGTGAGCACTCCAATGATTAAAGCACATTTTAATGGTTAGATGCTATGAATCTCTGGGCACTGTCCCCTGGTTCTCTGTAACATTAGTAGTTTGACAGAAACCTAAAGGCAAGTTGCAGTCATTGAGCAGCCAGCAAAGGGACATTAGGATTAGTGTAAACTGAGGCCATAAGATTATAAAATCAGAATCATTACAATGAGCTGTAGTGGTTATGGTGCTTTAAGTGCCCCTTTAAATTGTTCAGACTATAGATTGGTAAGTGTCTAGAGATGTAGTTGAACAGGCAGGGCTTTCCAACACTGTACTATACACTTGTTACTATCAAATATGTATATATAATTTTTGAGCATTTGTGCATTCAAATGAACACAACCATTTGGGACTAAAAAGCTCTTTCTCTAGTGTTTATTTGTTCATTTAAAGGGACACTATATTCACCAGAACAACTACAGCTTATTGTATTTGTTATGGTGAGTGTAATCATTTCCTTCAGGCTTTTTGCAGTAAACACTGGCTTTACATTACAGCCTATAGATACATCCACTGGCCACTCCTCAGATGGCTACCAGAGGTGTTTCCTGGGGCAGTGCTGCACACTTCATTCACTGTCTCCACCCTCTGCATGGAGACACTGAACTTTCCTCATAGAGATGCGTTGATTGAATGCATCTCTACAGGGAGATGCTGATAGTCCAGGACTGTGTTTGGCTTGTGCTGGCTCTGTCCCAGATAAGCCTCCTTGACAAGCTCAGCCAATCCAATGCTTTTCTATGTGAAAACAGTGTCATTGGCTTTTGATTAATTCTTCTGATGATGTCACCTAAGCAGGCAGTTCAGGGGCAGAGGCAGCAGCAGACTGGAATAAATTAAAATGTTGCTATATTAAGGGGTGGGGGGGGGGAAAGGTGATTATAACACTATAGGGTCAGGACTACATGTTTGTGTTCCCGACCCTATATGTGTTCCTTTAAAATAGGTTTGGCTTATTTACTAAACAGTGAATTAAAAAATGAATTTCTAACATTAAAGCCAAAATAACCTTATTAGAAAAAGTAATTCTTCAATTCCAGCATATTACCAGCCTGACCATTTTGACCTAAATATGATTTTAAATTTTCAGCATTCCACTGTTTATTAAATAAACCCCAGTAATGTTCTAATAAACAATATATTAATGTAACAACCGTCACACTGCAGTGTTAGTGTGGGATTATAGATCAAAATCCTACGTAACATAGTCCACTTCATGTATTAGGAAACCTGGGGCATAGTTATACAGGATACAGGACTAAGAGAAACAACCTGGCTATTCTCAACAAAGGCTGAAAACTAACAGATTTGTTTGACTTGTCATGTAGAAGGTCATCTGGAATATGTACTAAGTCACTTCTGGGAGAATAAAACCTATTCATCATTATGATCAATAAGATATTCCTCGGGGTAACATTGTGATTATTTTCTGTTGCGTGGATTTTAAAGGCCTGTTCGGAGATTATGTAGAAAAAGAGTGACCACACTTTGCCCTTCAACAATTGTTGTAACACATTTCCCATAATTCTCAGCATGTTAAAGAATACCAGAATTAGGGAAACATGCCCTAACAATAGCTGGGGAATGTAGAATGCAGAACCATATGCAACATTAGAGTATAACCAGGAGTTATTGACATTTTACATGGTAATTATAAATCTTAGGACACAATAGCTGAAAACTATACATTCTCTAACTCTATTTTTACGCTATTTTACCAGGGCAGCTATGTACGCCTAAAGCTTGCTATTCCCTTTCAGTACTAGAGAATTCCTGGTGTTGTGAATTGAACTCTTTATGTGTCTGTTACTAACCCCGCTTTTCTAAAATAAAAAGATTTACTGAAGGGGTAAATGGCACTGGTCATGTTAAACTTCGACAGGGTCACAGTACCCGAACTGGAAAATATCCCTATGTCCTCAATGCTTCCAGTTCAGCGGTTTTTTAGCCATAAATTTGAAATTCACCTGAAGAACTATTATACCATTTAAACGTGTAGCGGTGGCTCTGAGTGGAGGTTTGGATACACAAAATGCTGTGTGTATGACACAACACCAAGCCCCCTGTATCATGCTCCTCTCTTCCCATTACAATAAGCAGATCCAAGAGAAGTGTTCGGGATGGCTGAAAATGACTTTGTTGGGTTGTTTATGGCCTAATTCTGGTTATTATTAGGGCAGTTCTGGATGGCTGCTGGGAACCTCGATTACACTACTTTATTCTTTACAATTTTCTCCCTTGTGAACATTCTCAAGAATGTCAAATTCTTATAAAATGTAATGTAAAATATATGTGAATATTTATAATAAAATGATGTGTTGTTTTACCAACTGTAGATTGTATTGTATTTGCACACACCATGCTTGAGATCACTCTTTAGTTCTGAAACCAGCACTGCCCTCTAGTGAATGGCACAGAATGACTAATGCTCTATTCAGTCCAATCTGTGGGAAGTCAGGAGATATTTTTTTGTTTTTTTTGACAATCTCTTTTTATTGAATTTGGCATTTCAGAGAAAGTACATACAAAGGAATATAAGTACGATAGTAATACAAAAGCTTGTATAAACACCAATGAAAACGAGCTTACGTAATGCATAACCTGAGAATCGGTATATAAAGTTGTTAAATAAAACTATCATATCGGAGTGTTAAGAGATCACACCCTTGTAGAGATTAGCAGTGCTAAGTAGTAGACCATATGGGTGAAAGCACCGTCAGAAGTCAGGACATATTTTAACCTTTCATATCTGCTGTAAGTACAGTTTTAAGGATCTGAAACTCAAACGGATGAACTGGAGGGACCCGATAAATGGTCCTGCTTCTTATTCCCTCATACCGGTCTCCTGCCTTCCACTGCTTTACCTCCATGCTACCATTTTGTCAGAGACACCAGAATTGACCTCCTATTGCAGGGCCATCATCAGGAGAATACAACCAGTACTCAATGTAATGACATCTAGTAAATGTTAAAGCAATCTGCCAATACACGAGCACTTTAGCAGTATGCGTCCTATGGGCATTGTTGAACCACAGCCTAGTAGGCCTGAATGTCAATCTGGTTAGTGTTTATACTGAAACTACATTTACAGATCATAGACATCACCCAAAATGCAAACTAATGATGCCCTGGCTCCTCCCATCCCAATTTCATACCTCCCAGTATTGTGTTGTGCCATTTAGCTACATCCTCTTAGTACAGACACTCCTCACCGACTGGGTTTGTAGAACGAATTGGTAGGTAAGTGAGGAGTTAAGGGATTTCCTACGCCTGGTCGTAAGTGCGAGCCATCGTAAAACAGGTAGGTCGCTAAATGATTACCACCTGTACATAAATATATTCAAGCGAGGGTTGTCAGACTTTTACAAACCAAATGGATACAGTTTTTAAATTTTTGAACTTTTTGAGACTGATTTAATAGGCCTTTGTTTAATTTTGAGCCATTTTGAATTAACTTGTTCATATTACCCCCATGACAGCATACAGCCCAAGGTGTTTTATGTGCTGCGTTTTGGCTTTTTCGATATGTTCATTTTATCCTTAGCAGCATCTTGCGTAAGAAAGTGGCGTGCAACGTTTTTAAGCGGAGTCAACAGGATTTGGTAACAGATTGGACATAAGGCTCAAAGGTGAGGCCAGAGTCAAAGATCACACAAAGAGCGAAAGAGGACGATCTGTATTATGAGGATATACATGGTGCGTTGTATTATTATATATATTGCTGTGTATTATTATACCTGTGGCAGTGTATTATTATTGTACACGTTGCAGTGTATTATACATTTTCCTAATTATTATATAAGTTGCAGTATATGGTTATACCTGTTGATTTGTATTATAATAATAAGTTGCAGTTTATTATTACTATACATGTTGCAGTGTATTATTATAATATATGTTACAGTGTATTATTATTATTACATATTGCAGTGTATTATACATGTTGCAGTGTATTATACATGTTGCAGTGTATTATCATTACATTGCAGTGTATCATTACATATTGCAGTGTATTATACATGTTGCAGTGTATTATTATACATGTTACAGTGTATTATGTTACAGTGTATTATTATTATACATGTTACAGTGTTATTATTATTATACATGTTGCAGTGTATTATTATTAAACATGTTGCAGTGTATTATTATTAGTAGTATTACATGTTGCAGTGTATTATTTTTTTACATGTTGCAGTGTATTTTTTTTACATGTTGCAGTGTATTATACATGTTGCAGTGTATTATTAATGTTAGTGTATTATTATTATACATGTTGCAGTGTATTATTGTTGTTTTTATTAATATACATGTTGCAGTGTATTATTATTACATGTTGCATTGTATTATTATTATTATTATTACATGTTGCAGTGTATTGTTATTATTATTATTATTATTATACATGTTGCAGTGTATTATTATACATGTTGCAGTGTATTATTATTATTACATGTTGCAGTGTATTATCATTATTACATGTTGCAGTGTATTATTGTTATTACATGTTGCAGTGTATTATTACATGTTGCAGTGTATTATTATTATTATTATTACATGTTGCAGTGTTATTACATGTTGCAGTGTATTATTATTCATGTTAGTGTATTATTATTATTACATGTTGCAGTGTATTATTGTTGTTTTTATTATTATACATGTTGCAGTGTATTATTACATGTTGCAGTGTATTATTATTATTACATGTCGCAGTGTATTATTATTATACATGTTGCAGTGTATTATTACATGTTGCAGTGTATTATTATTATTACATGTTGCAGTGTATTATTATTATTATTACATGTTGCAGTGTATTATTAGTTACAGTGTATTATTATTATTATTACATGTTGCAGTGTATTATATGTTGCAGTGTATTATTATTATTATTATATGTTGCAGTGTATTATTAGTTACAGTGTATTATTATTATTATTACATGTTGCAGTGTATTATATGTGGCAGTGTATTATTATTATTATTATTATATGTTGCAGTGTATTATTATTATTATATGTTGCAGTGTATTATTATTACATGTTGCAGTGTATTATTATTATTATTACATGTTGCAGTGTATTATTATTATATTATATATTCTACATAGAGGATGCCTGATGTCTATGTAATAAAGCACTCACGCTGGCCCCGCCCCCTTGGTTCTGTAAACACGCCTCAGTCACGTGATCTGAGCTCTGCCCTTCCCGTCTGTACTCACTATGACGTACTACTGCCTGGTCACGTGATGCTCGGTCGCTTAGTGAAGGTAGGTAGTCAGTGAAGGTAGGTAGTTAGTGAAGGTAGGTAGTTAGTGAAGGTAGGTAGTTAGTGAAGGTAGGTAGTTAGTGAAGGTAGGTAGTCAGTGAAGGTAGGTAGTCAGTGAAGGTAGGTAGTTAGTGAAGGTAGGTAGTCAGTGAAGGTAGGTAGTCAGTGAAGGTAGGTAGTCAGTGAAGGCAGGTGCTTAGTGAAGGTAGGTAGTCAGTGAAGGTAGGTAGTCAGTGAAGGTAGGTGCTTAGTGAAGGTAGGTAGTCAGTGAAGGTAGGTGCTTAGTGTAGGTAGGTAGTCAGTGAAGGTAGGTGCTTAGTGTAGGTAGGTAGTTAGTGAAGGTAGGTAGTCAGTGAAGGCAGGTGCTTAGTGAAGGTAGGTAGTCAGTGAAGGCAGGTAGTCAGTGAAGGTAGGTAGTCAGTGAAGGTAGGTAGTCAGTGAAGGTAGGTAGTCAGTGAAGGTAGGTAGTCAGTGAAGGCAGGTAGTCAGTGAAGGCAGGTAGTCAGTGAAGGTAGGTAGTCAGTGAAGGTAGGTAGTCAGTGAAGGTAGGTAGTCAGTGAAGGCAGGTAGTCAGTGAAGGCAGGTAGTCAGTGAAGGTAGGTAGTCAGTGAAGGCAGGTAGTCAGTGAAGGTAGGTAGTCAGTGAAGGTAGGTAGTCAGTGAAGGTAGGTAGTTGGTAGGAGTGGGGTCTATCACTGTGTTAGGAACTCTCTACTTACTCTGCGAGGCTGAGCTGCCTGTCCAGCCGCAATGCATTAAGGGGAATGTAGTTCAGATCATCAGGAGTGTGAAGTGCATACAAGGCTGATATAAAGAAACCCACCCAGTCCCTTATAATTAATACTATATACCGTATGTATTGTTTATTTTACATGTCTTCCATCGCATTCCATTGATGACTAACTTCTGTCTGGCTTGGCATCCTGCGAAATGTAGTCAGTGTGGACAGAGCAAAGTTTACTGAAGCTGCTATTATAGTCTTGCTAGTCAGTAATAATAATAATAATTTATTTCCTTGTCTGTGTTAGCTCGGGATGGAGAAGGACCTGCTAAGAGCTGCGAACGCCGAGTTGGAGAAGAGTCGGCTTGTGGAGGCAGAGATGCTTTATGGCGAGGTGATTGAGAAGTGTTCCCAGGACAGGTGAGATATTTACCGCCATGGGTCAGGTGGCAAGGAGAGCAGGGGGCAAATGTACCTGCGCCACTAGAATGTGAGCTTTGGCGAGTGGGTTGTGGGCTATAGCCAAAACAATCTGTGCAATGAATTAGCAGAAAGCACAATGGCAGCTTACAGATATTGTATTTAATGCTTATTGACATGATACGTGTCAGAAATGAATGATATTCATTACTCCGCTCCCCCAAGCATTCTTTTAATCTCTGTGACCTGTTTTACTTCTAACGTCTCTTTGTTTATCTACTTTCTTTCTGTCGCCATCTTTAGTAGCCTGGCATTGACGTTTGCTCACTGCTTTTTACTTCCCCCTCCTGTCTCCTTTCTAGCGCATTCCCACAAACGTCCTCTTGTCATTGGTCATATGGCACCACCATTGGACGGCAATTACCATATTTGGATGTTCATCAGTGCACTAGGATGGATACTACTGGTATCAAGAGAGGAATTGTTGTTGTCAATGTCAATAGAAATAACGCTACTGCTAGTGGCTCATGCCCAAGATCTAGACTCAGGGAAATTGTACTGAGACTGCAAGTGGAGATTGCCTTAAACTCCGTACTTTGTCAAATTGTGTCAAATGGAGGAAAAGTCCATAGGACACATTTTTCCCTACTTTGCTTTCTGTACTTTAAGAATGGAAGAAAATAAGAATGGATTGGGAGACAGGAAGAATTGATTAAAGGAACGCTATAGTGTCAGGAACACACATGTATTCCTGACGCTATCGTGCTAAACCCACTATTAAGATTCCCATCCCCAGAGCAGTGAAAAGGTGTTTAAACTCACCCACATTCACTATGCTGCGCCGGTCTCGCCGTGGCTGGCCTTGCTACCATGGCTGAGATCATCGAACTTAATGATCTCAGCCAATTCAATGCTTTCCCATAAAAAAAGCATTGGGAGGCTGTTGTGCATGTGTGCAAATCAGCATCTCTCAATAGAGATGCAATGAATCAGTGCAACTCTATGGGGAGCATTAATGGTCTCCATGCAGAGCGTGAAGACGCTGAATGCAAGTGCTGCATACTGTGCAGCACTGACCCAGGAAGCACCTCTAGTAGCCGTCTAGGTGGCTGCAACTAGAGGGGTACTAGGCAGTAATGTAAACACTGCATCTTCTCTGAAAAGGCAGTGTTTCCATGAAAAAGCCTGCAGAAAAAGGCTATAGACACCAGAACAACTACATTAGGCTGCAGTTGTTCTGGTGACTTCAGTGTTCTTTTAAAAAAAGGGAGCTACTTTAAAAATTACCGGTTTTCTTAAACAGCTCTGTCACCTTGGAGAGATATATATATATATATATATATATAATATAATATATATATGTAATATTTATGAAAATCACTTTCTTGGATGTGTTAGAATACCTTTATTTTCAAATTCTATTGTAATTAACAGAAATACATGAGACAAAGTAGGGACTACTTTTTCTCATGTAATTGCCAATTTTTGTCAAAGAGTGTCTGTTGCCAATTCCCATGAACCGTTGCTTGTGATAGCTATTAGAAACACGCATAATCTTGTGCTGTGTGCAATAGGTGGCACCTTATTGTCCATGTGCAAGGTTATCTTTGGAGGTGAGCTGCAGGACTGTGATCTATGCATCAAAACCACATAATTGAGCTAAAGTAGTTTTGGTTGTTGGACTAAAACTACAAAGGCCTACGCTGTATACCAACACAACTTAAATGCATTTGATTTGTTTTGGCTTCATATTCATGCCTTATTTTTTTCCACAATCAAATTAAAAAAGAAACAAAAGTTTGCCATTGCAAAACATAAATACCTAAATAATTATAATAATATTATATTTCCATTAAACGTACGCATTGTACATTCTCTGTTCAGGCAATGAAAGATCAATGTGAGCTGAGCTGTCTACATCATGCATATGACGTCAAAACCACGTGAGGTCACATCACATAATCGGCACTAATTTTGTACTAATGCCTGGAGTGTCCCTTTAAGATTAAAAGTAGGGGAGTAACATCTTTGACTGTCCACCTACAGACTGCTACTCTCAGTGCACAGCCCCACGGTGAGAGAGGCAAATGTTAGCGTAAGACTTTAGCAATGTTATATTTTTCATAAATATTAAACATGATTCCAACTGAAGGAGTATAACAGAGCAGATTTTTTTTTTCTTTTTTACAATGAAAGTTTGTAACAGTGATGGCTAACTGTTGTGTTGCAATGGTTTGCTGGGCATTTTGGGAAATGTTCACATACATGTCAGTGGCAATGTTAGACATCATGGGATTATAATTTACTCCTCGACTGTCCTCTAACAGGCAGCAGGAACAATGCGTAAGCAGCAACATTATGTTTCAACAGTGCAGAGTCCATAGTACACTTTAAAGATTGTTTGCACTATGAATACATTTACTATGCAAAGCTGTACATTTAAACTAATGTTTTGACAGAACTCACTCACAATTCATTTTCCTGATCAATCATGGCAGCATTTACTCATGGGTTAGCTCCTCCAATCACAGCAGAAAGGACAGGAAATGGAACTCTGAAGTTGGTATAAATATATCCCCCCTTCCCACCAGGCAGTCTTTTTTTCCTGTCCTTCACAGCAGTCTGGAAGATGTCTTCTTAATCAGGCCTAGAACCAGGCCAATATTCTTCTGGCCCTGCCAGGGTTCAGCCTCTAAGCCCTGAAGACCCAGCAACAGCACATCTTTATTGTTGTGTTTTTTTGTGGTTCTTGCAGAATAATCAATGCTGACACTCACTTCAAATGAACAGCTTTACTTCCAAGAGTCACTGCTAAACTCACATCATGGAGTGCTCTCCTAAGCCCTCTATGAGTTTGCCAGCCTGGGTACCCCCTTTAGTGACCAGGTGTTGAATCCAATCTCTCACTCAGGAAATGAAAGCGGTCCTCTGCACACATGAGGCCCAGCTGGGTCTATTCCTCTTTTCCCTGAAGACCCAGTAATTAGCACTTCTGTAAGGTGACTACCTGGGTATGCCTCTTCTATGTATTCCACCATAACCAGGTTTTTTTTTTTTTTTTAAACCTTCCCCCACTGGTGATGACGAATGGCTTATGGGGTACAGATAGAAGCCTTCACTTTAAACAGTTTAGGCTGTCAGTTGTTCAAATCCGCATTTTCCGCTCAAATTAGGGCCTGCACCTGTTCATCTGTCAGGTGAGTGCATTAGTAATTTACATTAAAAACTAGCATAGGCATCTGGGTTTCTTTTCTTTCGTTCTGACCAAATGTCTCGTGGCTTTGTCAGAATATTAGCGCTAAATGCTTTAGTATGGTGATTAATATTACATTTTTAATGGCATTTTTTTATTTTCAGTACTAAATGTAGCATTATCAAGATGATTAATTTTATTGTGTGTGTATATATATGTATACGTTTTGTTTTATGTTTCACTTTCATTCCCCTGAAGGAATTGCAGTATTGCCGATCTTGCCACAGCCTTCAATAATAGAGGACAAATCAAATATTTCCGGGTGGATTTCTATGAGGCAATGGATGACTACACAGAAGCAATCAAAGTTAATCCTAATTTTGAAGTCCCGTATTATAACAGAGGTTTAGTTTTGTATCGTCTTGGTAAGTGATCCCAGATAAAGCAAAACAGTTATTCTGTTTATTTCTGCAGCCTCCATTGCTTCTATCTCCTCATATAATCCCAGACAGGCTAAATGATGATGAACCAGGGCTCTGTGGAGGTCATGCCATCCCTTACTAGACTATTTTGAAGTTTAAAAATGAAACCATAACCACTGCAGTTTGCTGTAGCAATTTCAGTGCTAGGAGTACCCTGGCTTCATCGCATGGTTAGATGTAAAACTGTTTTAATATGGTTTGGCAACTTACCTGGTCTGTCCTTCAGAGCACCGCGAGCTGATGTAAGACGATGCTCATTGTTGACTGTGCTCCGCTTAGCCAATGATTGTTTTCCTGCAATGCGAAGCATCACATTTCATCCTGTAACCATGCTTTATAAATATTGTGCACTGTCTGACTTGCTGTGTACATTCAGGGAACACAGCAGCTCTAACTGGAGGGAGGATAATTAACCTGCTGCAGATATCCAGATATTGTTAACTAAAGAGCTATGGTCATTGTACAGCGCTACGGAATCTGATGGCGCTATATAAATAATAATTGCAGCTTTGCTGTGTAGCTTACATTAAATAATATATGCTTCAATAAAATATTTAGCATTTTTGTTAGGCTTGACTTTCCAAATGATTTGATACTGTTTGTTTGCAGGTTTTTTTGATGAAGCGATCAAGGATTTCCAAAAAGTTTTGCATTTAAATCCTCAGTTTGAAGACGCAAAGATAAGTTTAAAACAGAGTCTTCAGGACAAAGAGGAGAAGAGGAGACGCATTGCTTGCAATTAACAACAATATTGGTTGATACAATACGCTAATTCAAATAGACATGCTGAAATTAAATCTGGTTAGAAGATGTGATTGATTTGTTGGACACTTACCAATCTCTGAAACCGTACTACCTAGCAGATCCGAGTCAGATTTCTTATCTTGTTGATATGTGCCAAGATGCAATATTGGCAACTGAAATGACAATGACGTGACTTGCAGCCATGCAGATTGTGGTTGTAGGACACAGTGATGACTAAACTCGGTGCCTCGGGTGATTTCCCGTAATCTTGTGGACTAATTTTCTAATTGTAAATTCTTTTGGAGGCTCTGTACGATTGTAGAAATCAGTCTATCACACCATATAATCTGCAACATTGCCTCCATAGACTATGAAAAAAAAAATTAAGAAAACAATAAAAACTACCAGGTAAAATAATGCCATTTATGGTAAATACGTTTTTAAAATAGAGACTACAGATAAGCTAAAATGCTATGTACATAAGATCCATAGTCTCTTTTAATGCAATATTTAACTGTATATTTCTGTAGGATGTGGAAAGCCGTTTCTCTGGACACTTTGCTTTCAGCCTTATTTCATTCTCCTTTGTTTCTCTCGGTTACTGACCAGGAACATGCAACTTTAAGACCTCCAGATATTCTGAATCACCACTCTGATATTCTGTCTGCTAGGATGGCACAGAAGTGTCTTTATTTTTGCATCAGTAGTTTAAACATGGATTTCTTTAAAGGGTCAGTTTAAGCACCATTAACACTACAGCCTATTGTAGTCCTATATAGTGGTTATAGGACTAGTGGGCTACTAGCACCACCATTGCCTTTCCTTGTTAGCAATATCAATTTCAGGTATATCTGGATGGCAATGATTGACTGAGAGAATCATATGACAGACTCAGACTATCAATCCACTAGTAATACACAAATGAGGAGCTGGTTTCTCAACCTGTGGAATGAAGGAACAAATGTAGCTCCACTCAAATTAGTCCCAGACTGGCCCCGGCATCATTCAAGCTGCGTGCAGAGGCTTATGTCTAATTAGGTGTTAGGCATTCTCCAGCAGCCACCAGATTTTCTTACCTCTGCGGTGACAGGTGCGTGCATTGCCCCATTCCAAGCTCTCCCTGGCGGTATCTGGTGCAATGATGTACTCTTCTAAAGCCGCCCATGTGTTGGGTCCTGGAAGGTTGAGAAGGATGAGGTTTTGGGGGAGCCCAGCCTCACATTGACGTTGGCTGGTTTTAAATGAAGCAGAAGGGCTCAGCTTCCTGTCTGTCAGACAATATTTCCATATACCGGGACAAACTGAGTTCATGGTGTCTAAAATACAGTAAGTAATCACCAAACCAAACAATTTAGTAAATCAGCAAACATTGGGAAAATCTACAACAAATTAAGTAAATTACATTTATTTACACTAGATTGTACTTGAGTCCCTACACTATTCCAAATTGTAACAGATGGTTTACTGCAGGTGAAATCCACAGCACCACACTGGTGCTTGGTGACATTTCCCTAATGGAGGGATAATAGGGTAGCTTGAGCAGTGCAAATACAATGTAGGTCTTATACAAGGTATCCAGTAACTGTGCAGGAATACCAGGTACCCAAGAAATTGAGGATTTGTTTTATTTTTATAATAGATAATCAAAAATGAGGTTCTGTTTTCTGATTTAGTCTTCTATATTAGGCCCCAAAGCTATGTGTGTGTATTTTTCGGTGTCCTCTGTGTGTAACTATTATGTGTGTATTATATTTTCTGCAGGTTTTTTTTTTTTTAAATGTGTAAATCAGTTTATTTAACCTCCCTGCCTCTACCTGTGGCCAGAGATGGGGGACACACGTTTCCCTGTTGGTCCAGTGCTACACCAGCTGATACAGTGAAGAGGTCCTCATCTTCCACCTCCAGCATTATGTCCTCTCCTCTCACAAATCCAGCATGCTTTGCGTGCAATGTGGAGCGTTGATATGGCAACCTGCGGCAATGCTCTGACTGCCGCGGCTCGCAAGTGGGCACAGGAGGGGGAGTTTGGTGTCTCCTGGGCACTTCTTCATTATACTACAGCGTAAGGATCACAAATATGTGTGTGTGTGTATATAACCAAGGGGCTGCTGGGGCCAATTCATACAAAACATATAATCCAGCGCACTCACTTATCCACCAAACGGTTTTTAAAAAAACCAAAACCCTAATCTAGGCAAAAGTAATATGAATTTAGTTACATTATATGGTCATACATTGCATAAGCCTGCTACAACGTCAATGTACCACATCTCTTTTAGGACTCCCAAATTTTGCAAAGTCCCTAGATGATAACACAGTTTACAGTTTACTCCTGCACTGCTGGAGTAAATGAATACTTAACATATTTCTCTGATAGATGCCTAAACAGCCATCACATCCATGCGATCACGGTAACACAGTATTTAACTTTCAGATTACTCTGATTTCCAAGTACATGTTACTATTGCCCACTGTAATGGTACTCATTTTATCTACCTCAGAGGGAAGAAGGGAGTCAACCCTGCCAGGAATTGAACCTGCAACCCCCAAGGGTTGAACATATTCTACTGATGATGCATTAACCCTCTGAGCTAAATTATTTAATGCTGACAGATTATGCTTGGGTGCAAATGTGCCTTCTGCACTGCTGGAGTAAATGAATGCTTATCATATTTCTCTGATAGATGCCTAAACAGCCGTCACATCCATGCGATCACGGTTTTGCTTTCCACTTCACTTCCATGTAGTTTGTGAAAGTATAAGTTTTTTATTATAAAGATGTAAGCATCTTTGTCAAGCACTTAGTGGATTTAATGTTTACACAGCACTCTATCAGTGTTTGTAATGTGCATATTTAAAGGGACACTATAGTCAGAGCAGTTACAGCTTATTGTAGTTCTTCTGGTGAGTATAGTCAGTCATTGCAGACTTTCAGGGAAAATGCAGTGTTTACATTAAGGCCTAGGGACACCTTCAGTGGCCACACTTCAGATGGATACTAGAGGGGCTTCCTATGAGACCCTGGACTTTCCTCATAGAGATAGAAACATAGAATGTGACGGCAGATAAGAACCATTTGGCCCATCTAGTCTGCCCATTGATTCATTGCATTCATTCTTAGAGATGCATTGATTTCCTCATAGAGATGCTGATTGGCCAGTCCAGCATTTGCCCTGCTGCCCCAAACCTGCCTCCTTGGCGATCTCAGCCAATCCAGTGCTTTCCCTATGGGAAAGCATTGGATTGGCTGAGAGTATCAATTCTGATGTTGTCAGCCAAAGTTTTAGGGGAGGCAAGCCACCTAAATGGTGATTTTAAACTATATGGTCAGGAATACGATTATGTTCCTGACCCTATAGTGTTCCTTTAACTTGTTAGTATGCAGAGAAATGTATCTGATCATTCTTCACATTGCACACAGAACTGTATGTTAGAATACTAAATTAAATACTTAGTTTGTAGGTCACTGGAGTATAATTTACAAGTGCACAATGATTTGTAATATACACATTTGCTTGAGAGTTAGTTAGCCCAAAGTATGAATTAAAATGTAAGACTTACGTAAAACAGACCTGGATATCTATAGGTGAAAACTCCACTCTGCAGCAAGCAGTAATATACTGTTTCAGTAGCTATTATACAATTCTAAAGTTATGTCATTACATTTCAGAAATGTGTAATGCTTTCTTAAAATGTCAAATAGTCAACACAATAAATGTGTACAGAGCCCTTCTAGGGAAGGGTCTACCACTGTCACAATTGAGAGGAGCATTCAGTTAGTGATAGATTTGCACTTAGAATCTTTTTGATTCACATTTCGAATCCCAGGATTGAGCTCCATACTAACTGTAGAGTATCCATATTGTGTTGTAATTCTATAAATAATTGTATCTATTGCCTTTTGAGTTTGGCACCCTACACTAAATTTAGTAGAATATGACGTTTGCAGCATTAAACTATTTGCTCATGCCTCATATTTTAATTTTATCTTTTCTGTTGACATCTCCTGCTTGCCATTGTCTCCTGGCCCATCGACCTTGGCCAGAACAATATGAACATTTCGGGGTGAACAGTGTAAGCTTTGGATTTAGGAAGAATTTGGTGTGTCCCTCAACATAATCTTATATGTCTCAATCAGATAATACCAGGGTTTGATCTATGTTGTTTTTGTACAATTTTAGCAATGTTGTACATCCCTTTGGCACTGCAAAGTGTTGTATCACGGCGTTCTTCAGAAATTCCGTGGGAAAACAATTTCCTGAGCCTATTTTTTTTTTCTGCTTTTTATTTGTCTGCATATTTGCTTTTATTTGTACTGTCAAAATACATGCATCACAATAACCAAGGTTGTGTTGTGAAATTGATGAACACTAGCTACTCGTACTTTGCTCAAGTTGTATAGAGCGAAGTGGTACAGGAGGTCTTCTATAACCTATCTCAAAAAAAACACTCAGAACGTTTTGCCACTTCTATCCAGTGCTGTCGCAGTTATCTTGTTTTGTGAGAGTTCTTCTTTATTGCCAGCCAATAACAATGCGCCATTGAGCAAGCTTTGCTGCCATTTTACTTGCCAAGTGATGTAATCAGTGATGTGCCAATTGCATGTATGTGATGTTATTGGGAAAGCCTTACAATAGTGATGCTTGCTTGGTGGTTCATTGTGATTGGCTGGTGATAGAGCCAATTAGTCACAAGCACAAGAAAGCAGCCAGCACGGACATTGGCAGAAATGTCATCTCCAGCACCTGTTCTTCACCCCACTACCTTCTTATTACAGCTTAGCTTCCCACTGACGTGTCCAAGTACTTGGATTTTGTAGGCATGCTCTCAGAATTTTATTTATTCTACTTCACCTGCAGGGGTGGGTGAATAAAGCGGTTGGGGAATTTGAGAAATGTATGTTGAATTCCTGATGCTTCTCACTTTAGTGAATAATTCTGACTGTGCTATAAAAATGTACTTCCCCCCCCAATTAGGATGTGAGTCACTTCTACAGGAGGTGTGGCTATGGCTACAAAAACAGAAGTGTTTTAACTCCTAAATGGCAGAGCAGAGAGACTGCAGGGGGCATCATCTATACACCGAACCTGATTAAAGAAGCTCTGCCACTTCTCAGTATTTCATTGAAATACAATCCCAAAATTCCGCAAGACAATATTTGTCCAAAACCAGCAGCTGCATTGCTCATCAGGCATAGTTTTGCTCACTGCGAGACGTGATCTATGTTGGGTCTCCGGTCTTGCAGGATCCTCCATAGACCTTGATGTTTTACGGTCACGCATACGTGAGAGCAGAGCACTGACATGGCTCCTGGCAGATTAAGCTCCAGGAGCTGAAGAAGTTCCCAGGATGGAGATAGCAAAAGAGAGGGACAGCTTCAGGTAAAATCACACTAGAGGTACATGTAGGTGTCATAGGGCTTTGATATTGCTACAAAATACAGCGACTGCATATTTTGATCTCCAGTAAATCCAGCTCAACTACTCCTGTGACACTGAGCCTAAAACTTCAGTTACAGAATATCTCTTAGTTTGCCAGATCCTCTGACTCATATCCAAATTATCTATGCACCACAACTACACCTGCCAACATCTGAAAGGGTGTATATGATTACCCCTTAGCATCCTGGCACAACCTACCTTCCTGAGTGAGATATTCTGGAAGCCATACCTGCATTAACCATCAATAGCCTAGGACGGCCTTGTCAAAACGTGGCAAGATATGTATTAATTGTTACCAGAAAAACATAAGGACATGTTTTGCGCAGAATTCCTGAAAAGATTACGTGGACAACAGTTTAGCCACAATACAATTAGTGGTATTCAATGATTAATGGCCTTGCCTGGCGTCTTTTAAACGTTGATCATGACAAATACATCAAACTTCGTAACGGAAAGGAAACCTTTAAAAAAAAAAAAAATACATAAAAAAAATGTGCAAATGAAAAACATTTATTTTGATCCAAAAAAAATTAAAAGCCATTTATTTAATATATTTTATTAATGTAAGTGTTCTGCTTTGACACATAGGGATGATTTCAGCGCAGAGTTGCAATGCTGGCATTTTTAGCTGGTTATTAAACATAATCTAAAAGCTGTTCTTGATATGAAAAAGCATTGCTTCATACACCAGATATCCCCACTTAGAGCCATTTTGGCTTAACCTGATAACAATCCATTTCGAGCATAAAACATAACACGAGGGAGCCTCCAAGGATACAAATTAATGACAGAAATGATAAAACCTGATTTCGATTATTCATTCAAAATATCCCAACGCAGCGAATGAACTATCACAGCCTGTAACAATACTCTCATTGGTACAGAAGACTTAAAATAGATGTTGAAGTGAACCCAACACCTAATATTTTCTTTACATAAATCATTTCAGTAGAACACTGCTGAAGAATAATGCATATTTTCATCAAACCTAGCTATGGTTAGTGTAGCTGCAACTAAGACTTGAAGATCGGACATTTTCGTCCATGGCACAACTCGCGTTAGGGAACCTGCCTGTCCCCAAGGGGGGGGAGGCGTTATTGCTCCAATGTGATAGTCGGGATGTCTGTATAAGGACTCATATATCTGCTTAAATGTTTTAATTACAAGTTCATTGTGAGTGCGTTTAATCTTGTACATGTTGGCCTTTCTTTCAGTCCTCTTGACACGGGGTGGAAGAGGCGTTCTATGGAGAGAAAGGGGTGATTGAGGGCTTAAGATTAATATGTGTAGATCGGGCACATGAAAATAATGCATGCAGATAACAAATGCATTACTCTTTCTTCAACAGAATAAACTGTTAACTGTAATAAATCTGAATTCAGGAGACATTACAGAATGGGATGGGTCGGGCTGCCACATGTTCAGTCTACTTACCCGAAGAGAGGCAACAAAATAATGTATCATGATGTATTAATATACTGTACTGTTTAATAATAAATGGTAGGGTGACGGTTATAGATAGGGTTAGATGTGAGGGTTAGGGTGAGGATTAGGGATAGGATCACAGTTATGGATAGGGTGAGGATTTATAGGTTTATAGTCAGGGATAGAGTGAGAATTAGGTAAAGGGTTAGATTTAGGGAAAGGGTGAGCGTTAGGTTTGGAGTTAGGGATAGAGTTAGTGTTAGGGTGAGGATTAGGAATAGGGTGAGCGTTAGGTTTAGAGTTAGGGATTGGGTAAGGTTTAGAGTTAGGGGTACGGTTAGGATAAGGGATAGAGTTAGGGGTAGGTGAGGGATATGGATAGAGTTAAAATTAGGGGTAGGATGAGGTTAAGGGATAGTGTTAAAATTAGGGATAGGGCAAGGGATAAAGATAGTGTTAGGGGTAGGGTGAGAATAAGGGACAGAGTTAGGGGTTGGGTGAGGGATACGGGTAGAGTTAGGGTAAGGGTGGAGGGTTAGGGATAGAGTTAGTGATCGAATGATGGTTAGTGATAGAGTTAGAGATAGGGTGGGGGTTAGGATGAAGGTTAGTGTTAGGGGTAGGGTGAGGGATAGAGTTAGAATTAGAATTAGGGACAAGGATAGGGTTAGAATTTTGGATAAGAATAGGGTTAAGATTTAGGAATACCACCCTGATGAACATCATCATCATCATCCTCCAGCAGTCACATGACATGATAAGCAGCATATGTTGCTAACAGTCTACCATCCAGTATCAGTAGCACTCACACTGTCACTCTGTTTCCAGCAGTCTAGTGATCAACATCTGCTTATCACAAGTCGACTGTCCCCCTCCTTTTCTCAGTAAATTCTCTCTGTTATTTATAGGCCTGTAATCAGCAGATACTCACATTATTTGTTCTTTCTTCTCTTTTTGTCATAAACCTAGTCTTTACTTTGCCTTCACTGAGAATTGCATTAAACTACAACTCCCAGCATCCTCATGTGAACTACAACTCCCAGCATCCTCTGAGAGCTACAGTACCCAGAGTGCCTCAGAGGATACAGTTTGGCATGGGGTTAGGCTTATACAGGATGCAGGATATGATGCTGGACTGACATAGCATGTAACATGATTGCAACATTTTTGATGGGATCTGCATTTTCTCTGGTTTTTATTTTTTGCATTTTAAATTCACAGCATTAAAGCATATAATATCCCTGTATTATTTTAACAATAAGCTGGTTATGAGTTACCTCCTCACTAGCAAGGCAGCCCAGTAATAGCCCACACTGGCCGTGCCCCAGGCATCAAATTACCGTGACACCATGCTGATGTTGGGTGATGCCCTTAGTTATAGACTGCTTTTGGTGGTAAGTGGAATTCAGAGCATAAGAGCATGTCGCTCTGTGTTGCTGTGTTTCTCGGGCATGAAATATCCAGTTACAACATTACAGAGGCTGACCGTGCTGTGATACAGTGTTGTGGCGTTCCAACCTCTCAGCCCACGTTGCAGGATTGGAGGCTATTGCTGTACCCAGAACACACTGATATCAGCACGTACTGGTCTACTGCTGCCTCACAAGGAGACGACCCAGAAATGCACTCAGTTGACCAAGCTGTGTGAGCTTCCTGGGAGCCATCCATAGAGATTTGAGGCCTCAGTTGACCACTGTGATTTGCTCTCTTGTAGTATGCACACAATTTAAGCAGTCAAACCATTTTGATTTTGTAATTTGTTGTCTGCCAGACTCCACTCCCTGTCTCCTTTCAGCCTCCACTTAGCAGCTTTCATTGGCTCACCTGAGCTAAGCCCTGCAATGCATGGCCAGTTTATTGGGTGCGTGCATCAGCTGATTGTTCTCAGCTAAGCCTCCACTGCCAGGCTTTAATGGCGAGAGCGTACGGCTGAGAGAAGACTGCGGCAGAGGGAGGGTGCGACTCCAGATGAGAAGTAAAACTGTTATTAAATGATTTTAACTACTTACATGGGGGGAGGGGTGAACAACAAGCCACTCATGGCACCATAACCACTGTCCTCCATACACTGTGTGTAGCATTCATTTTTAGGGGAGGATAAAGAAGTAATAGAGATACTCCTTTGTAAACTGTGTGAAGAGGTGGTTGTAATATAATTCCCGTTTTAAAAACTTGATGACACAAATAAAAAAATCTGTCTGTCTGTCTGTCTCATTCTGTCTCTCTGTCTGTCTTACACAGATGTAGAATATTGGGAGTATTGCAGTGTCTCATACTCATAAACTCTTGGCACTGCTTTACATATTTCCATGTTTGAATGTACTTTTTATCCAATTATTATTATCCTATCCTATTATTTTGTAATAATTTTATCTCTTAGCTTGGCACAGATAGAGGATTACATTTCCAGTGATGTACAGTCATCTTCTAATCATTATGCAATACCTTAAATTAACTTGGGATGGCAGCAAAAATCAACTTATAGAGAAGCAAGTCTAGAGTGAAAAATAAACTTTCGAAAGCCTTCTCTGTGTTTCCTTCACAAACCAGAGACAATTCGTCCGCACAGACAGTGTAATGCTGGTGAAAGTTGGGCCAAGACTTTCCACCTGCATTGTGCATTCAGAGCCCATACTGCATAGAGGTACAATGTGCCCAATATAATTTCAGTTGATGCTGATTGAGAATACAGCAATTAAAGGGTTACTGCAAAAACAACCAAAAAACAGTGTTTCTTGGTTAGATTAACCACAAAGTAACCCCCCCCCCACCAAAAAAAACAAAACAAAAAAAAAAATAATAAAGGCAAAAAGTACCTTAGTTTCCACACTGGGGCCAAGTTCTCCCTGCAACCTGATCACTGGATGGGGAGGGAGGTCCTGGAAGAAAACGCTGAATGAAGGACTGGGGCATCATGAAGGGGGATGGATGTGCCATTTGTTAGTTATTCCCAGCATGCTCACAACAGCATGTGAAATAGCCCTGTAGTGAGCTATTGCAGCATGTGGAGTAACCCTGTAGTGAGCTATTGCAGCATGTGGAGTAGCCCTGTAGTGAGCTATTGCAGCATGTGAAGTAGCCCTATAGTGAGCTACTGCAGCCTGTGAAGGAGCCCTGCAGTGAGCTATTGCGGCCCGTGAAGGAGCCCTGTAGTGAGCTATTGCAGCATGTGAAGTAGCCCTATAGTGAGCTATTGCAGCCCGTGAAGGAGCCCTGTAGTGAGCTATTGCAGCCTGTGAAGGAGCCCTGTAGTGAGCTATTGCAGCCCATAAAGTAATCCTATAGTAAGCCTGTATCTCTTATGCCTCCTTGGTTGCAAGAATGCAGTCAGTATATTTTTACCATATCTAATGTTGTACAGTAATGTTATCTACACTCAGCAATTTGTTTCTACACCAGGTAAAGACTGGTGCTGGATTGCTGTGCAATGGCACTTAACATTTATTACACTTTGTATACTGAATGTTAAGTGTTTGCTTGTTTTTTAACACAATAGAGTGTAATAGAACGTCTTGCAGTTCTAAGCAGAGAGCTAAATAATAGTTTATGGCTTTCATTCTGACATTGAGTCCAGAAATTGGGTCTCAGACAGGATGGGGGCAACTCGACTTTTAAAACACAAATACCATTTTAAAGTAACAGTCTAGGCACTATAGCAATTTAATTGCTTTGAATTATTTATAGTACCTGGAGTCCTTTCATAAAGTGTTAAACAAACCTTCTGTGCCCCATAACAATTTCGTTGGAATGAAGCTCTTATGGTGCCTGGAGATCCATGAGCGGTTTAGCCACAGTCTTCTCTCTGTCTTGTTCTGGCCTAGTTCTTCCACTTCTTTGAGGTTTTTTAATCAGGAAATCTTAGACTGCCGCAGACAGGGGTACCCTGATTGGCTGAGAGTGTCAACTGTTGTTCTAAGCGAATCAGTAGCTCCTTGTTCATAAAATCTGCTTGAGAAAAATATGTACACATCTCAAGCTATTCATATGGATGGGCAGCTACATGCCACCTGGTGCGGTCCGTTCCCTGGTTTTTACGTTACAGCTTTATTGTCTTTGTTTTGAGCCCTAACAAAAACAATACATACAGTGCTGGTCTGTGGTACAGAAAGTGCTTCAAAACAACAATAAATGACAATAAAAATGCTGAGATTCCCAATAACGTCATAATTCAATTGAGTGTGGTGAGTATTCCATCTTCTCCTACCCAATGTACAGTGAATAGGAGAACCTAAACATAGACCTGGATTACTAGATATACTTAGCAATTAGCCAAGGCTTAACCAGAGTTAATACACCTGCATCCACCCAAAATACACATATATAGTGCACCCTCCCTGACTAAAAAAGCACATTCTTAATTGTAATTTCAGACAAAATAGTTGAAACTATTATCTTCAGACCATTGAAATAGCCTACTAAAATAAAAAAAAATAAAAGCCATCGGAAAGTAAAACTAAAACCCCAGACAGGCAGCCTTTACAAACATTCTGGTGATTAGAAATAGAATGGGCAATTTACAAAAACAAACAGGGCTGTACAGGTCTCTATGGCACTATACCGGACCTCTCCTGCAATGTATTCAATTAGAAAAATCAAATTAATATTTCTAGTGATATCAGTCAACAAAAGTAATATATCCACCAAATGTATATTCAGTTGATCAGTTTGTAATACAATATCTATAATAGTTCCTTGAATTGTAAATCACAAAGATTTCACACAAATTAAAAAAGAAAAACAACTGTCTGGGTCTGAATTCTCTTTATGTATATAAATGGTCTGGCGATGAAGATTTTCACGTGTGCCACAAATCTTTGTATCTAGTGCTGTGATAGGTTTAATACAACTCTGAAAATTAGATTTTTTTTTTAAGAAGTGCCAGCATTAAAGAATCACTGTAAGGTCAGGAACACACACATGTATTCCTGACCATATAGTGTTAAAACCACCATCTAGCCATCCTGGACCCCTCATGGCTCCATAAATATAGCAATATCTTACTGTATTCAAGCCTGCAGCTGTAGATCTGCATGCTGTCTGCCTTAGAAAAACAAGCAGTCTGCTGACATCATCAGAAGTGGTGGCCTGATACAATCACAGTGCTTCCCCATAGGCTTGGCTGAGGCTGACAAGGAGGCAGATCAGGGGCAGAGCCAGCATTATTCAAATAAAGCCCTGGCCAATCAGCATCTCCTCATAGAGATGAATTGAATAAATGAATCTCTATGAGGAAAGTTCAATGTCTGCATGCAGAGGGAGGAGACACTGAATGTTTGGATGCATTTTAGGCAGCCATGACCCAGGAAGGATCTCTAACAGCCATCTGAGGAGTGGCCAGTGAAGTTATCACTAGGCTGTAATGTAAACACTGCATTTTCTCTGAAAAGACAGTGTTTACAGCAAAAAGCCTGAAGGGAATGATTCTACTCACCAGAACAAATACAATAAGCTGTAGTTGTTCTGGTGACTATAGTGTCCCTTTAATATTGGGATTCCCATCTGGTAATTCTAACTAGTAAGTCAATTTGACTGGAAGAATGTCCTTCTCTCTAGTAGGGTTTCATGTTAATACGGCATTTCTAATAACTTAAGATGAAGATAAAAAAGTAGATGCAATGAATCCATACAAGAGAATCCAGAAAGCAAGGTATATACAAATGTACAAAGTATTAAGCAAAAGCTCTAAACGTAATCCCACCCAATCTAAATATTCTATAGTTTGTAGAAAACTAGAGACTAGAAATACTAGCAGATCTCCCTAGAAGTATGGGTCGGTGCTAGAACAGATGGTAAAAGCTAAAAAGGTATTATCGAGTCCTAGAACAGTTGGACTAGACTCATGGGTACTTCGAAGAGATAGGAGAAAACATAGTGAAGACAAGTCTAGATCTAAGGAAACCACAAAATCACATTGAATAAGCAAGTGTCACATTTAGTGTCACAGTGTCACATTCTTTGTCTAAATAAATGCAAGTAGAATTTAGGTAGCAGGAATAATGCATGGATGATTATGGAGTCCATGATCCCTGATAGACATGGAAAGACAGACAGTGCCCACAGTCAGTAATGTCCTTAAAGTAGAAAGCAGAGTACAGAATGTTCGTGACGCAGTAAATAACAGCAATAAATAGAGCAGACCTACACATGGGACTATAGAATGTGGGAATGAGGTGAAGGAAACAATGTAAAAAAATGGAGGAAACTAAATAAATAGGAAAAATTGGAGGGGAAAAAATATAGAATAATGTGACCATGTATTGATTTAAATTTTGGAGACACACATTATACATTGCCTTTATATGGCTTTGGGAACTGACACCTGAAGAGACTGTTGCACATATATTTTTGTAGTCATTTTCTTATTTGTGTTATTTTTGTCTTCTTAAGGTGTATTCCTTTCTCCTTTTTCTGTTGCTTTTTTCCCTCTTTTAAATATCATTTTTTTAATCATTTGGCCCCTTCTTCTGTGGGATTAACAAATTGTGCAAGACACTTGGAATTATAACCACTTTCATTGTTTTCCACATATTTTGGAGGAGGTTTCGTGGCAGATATTTCTGTTACAAGGACTAATTCCTGTGAACTCCGTGATGCACCCTACTGTTATAGACACCGTATTCCAAGCTGACAATCTGAATCTCTGTCTCTCTCCTGCTCTCTCTTTATAATCCACAACACTAAATTAGGACAGGCACTCACGAGTCTTGTTCAAATGAAAAAAAAAGTGTTTATTCCAAATAAACAGGCATGTCAACGTTTCAGACCCCACCTGATCCTGCCTCAAATAGTGTCACAGATATAATAATAAAATCACTTTACCCACTCTACTCCTCCGTGCGCACCAGAAACCATAACAGTGAAAAGCTTAGATTCACTAGTGACAAAAAGTAAACCAGAGTGCGGTGTTCACTTCAATAGTGCTCCTACAGGAAATGCTGAAAAGTGAAAATGTTCTCAGTGAGAAACAATAGTGTTAACAAAACCAGAATTAATTGTTGTAATCGTGCATGGTTCTATTTGTTAAGGAAAAAATATAAACAGATTTGTTTTAGTAAATAGACTTCATTAGCCAAAATACCTTCATTTGGTACTTAATTTCACACCTTCCATGATCAAGATCATTGATAGAAATAGAGTAGCTGTAAGAAGACTTGTGAAATATGGAGAATGGACCAATTAAATGTTTGAATTGTGACTTTATTACACTTTGCTATTTATAGACCTCTTTTTAAATCGCAAATAAAGAACCACTAAGCATAATCAGGAAGCATTAATATTACCCTAACTGGGTTTTGCTATAACAAGGAGCTGTTTGGAGGAAACTGATGCCCTTGATAAGATATGAACAGTGTTCAACATTCTATATCTGGACTTCTCCCTAAAACTCTTTGACATTATCTTATATTTGGGATGGATTCCCTAGAGAGAACATAACAATGCCGGGAAGGGGACTGGAAATCAACCGGGATAGTCGCATGGTGCTGGAGCTCCTCAGGGGAATCCCCTTATTGAGTCTGAAATTGGGCATAATGGCTCTATTTTTGACAGAAATTATGCATGTACCCCTGATGGTGAATGCCCTGCCGATATTTCTAAACCCGAAACTGTTGCTTACAAGTCATGTTCAACTTTCCTGTGGCCTGCAATCACACTCGAGGAGGGGGAGGCGACCGTTCCTCAGCCATGACTTTGAGCATGCTCGCTTAGGGTCCTGTCCTCACTCCTCTGGACCAGCAGGGGATATCGTATTGGCAGGGTTATTTTGATGAGACACACAGCTTACTGCTAAATTGGAGGGTTGAAGCCTATCAAGATGGCCAGCCTGCTGGGGCCTACAGCCAGGGGCACCTGTCCACAGTCCCCCACACATGTGGATCCACTTATCTTGGTATTTGATCATATCTGTGTGACCTTCTGGGCAAAGCTTTGTGGGCATGGACTTACCTCTACTCCTGTTAGCTGAGCTGCAGTCCCTAGGATCCGTCCTGCTGGCCGACATTGCCTGAATGGGTACCCTCCCATCTGTTCCCAGAGAGGCATTATGGAAGAGAAGGCACAAGAGGCTGTGCCCCATCACTCTGGACCTTGTGCTTGCTACAACTTTCCCCGATTCTGGGCAAATAAGTACATCCACTTTCAGTGCAGGCCACCTGAAAAGGAGGCTTTTCACTTATGTTCCCAGTTATGCAAGAGTCAGGGTTAGCAGAAATGGGCTCCTATTGAGTGTTTGGGATGTCTGACTGTGTCAGTGCTTGGGCTAGGTGGGGGCTCCATTGGAGTGGCTGACGGCGGCGGTGGCTGGGGCTCTCCATCATTAGGCATCAGTTGACTGGTCCACAGACCATTCCTCCAGCATAGCTGTTTCACTCATGCTCTCAATGTGCACAATGCATGCAATGTTTGAGTTGGTTTACCCTGTTATTGTACCCCGTTGAGCTTCTGCCATAGTTAAATCCAATCATCCAGTGGTATATATCTATAGTTCTATGTTACAGCATTTCTAATTCTCTTTTAGTTTACCGTAATAGAATTTTGCTCCTTATGTCTATTTCCAATTTCTTTAAAAAGGTGCATTTATATTCATGAGAAATGTCTACATACTCTTGTTTATAATGCTGTGCACTACTGCATGTCTCAATTCGATTCTTAAAAGATAGATGAACCAGCAGTTCAGTTATTCTAGGTGAGGTTCTGGTCTAAACAAGGCTTTATCTAATAGGTATGATGTTATGATGTCTGGCCTAAATGGATGGGTTGTAATTATTTTGTCTGAAATTTTTCACTGTGGATTGTGTTTTTGTTTAGTTGTCTGTATCTTGTTTTTACATGTTGTTAACTAATGTTTTGTAATTTGCTTTGTATTGTGATTACAATAGGTTTGACTTCCAAATGTTCTCATTCACATCAGGTTTGCTTGTTTGCCAGAAACCTTGACATTGTCCCCCAAAAGTCTTCCTGAAGAGTCATTGGCTTCTTTGCGTTCAGATTATGTGGAGTAGATTTTGATGATATTGCCTTCAGTTAGTCTTGATTTGAATTCTTTGACTTTAACTCTGCTGGAAACTGGAGGTAAAAGTAGAATTTTGTGTTTTAATCCCATTTTAATTGATGGATTTTCTAGACTCTTTCTCAGGACTCTTTCCTGTTTTTTTGTAAAACTAATAACAAAAAACAAATTTTCTCAAACATAAAGGGGGCATTTGCATTCTGCACAATATCATACCCTAATATGTTTTGGGGTTCCTACACTCATATTGAAGTGCTGCATTTAAGTTTTTTTTAACAACAAACTTCTTATATTTTGACTTTCTTCTTGATGCCTGTCCAAAAACGATGTTTTTTGGGTTTAAGCAGTGAGTTATTGTATGGCACTGTACCCAAGGCCATCTGTGAGAATCAGCCCGAGGCATGAGTCACCTGAGAAAACAGGAAAAAGAGAAAACAACTCAAATATACAAGGCAAACATGATGACAGG